GCATATTGTAATTGAAACATTTTGCATTTTGGAAAAGGTCGTTCAATTATCTATGATAATTCATCATACTATAATCTGAAAACTTTTATCTGCGAAGTGAAATACAATTTCTACAGCGAGTAGAAACTTAAGTACGTGATGTACATATATGAAAACAGATAATTATATAATTAATTGAATAACATTAAATATATCGATATAATAAGGATGAAATTATAGATCATACTGAAATACTTATCTAATCAATGTGTTAATACGGAAAAATGTATTTTTTATCCATTTGCGGGCGCAGATTCAACAGTTTGTTTTTACGAAACTGCGTATTTCGGTAACAAAAGTTACCACTTGGAACATCTTTCTTTCTAAAAGAATCTACTTAAGTTCTAATCTAATATTTGTTTTCTATTGAATGATTCATTGTGGATAGATATGATTTGAATGGTTTAGTGTGACCAAATCTAAACAAGTCTAAAAAGTTTGTATATAAATTATGCCTTGTGCAACTATATAAATGTATCAAATTTATTACATAATTTTTATCAGTTTCGAAGTTTTGTATAACAGAATGAAGAGTTTTAGTATCTAATGATGAATTCTATAAATTAGAAGAATATGTGTTGTCTTTAAAAGATAGTTCAAGAATCAGAAGAATTACAATTGTATTAATATTCTAGCAACGCGATTGAGATCCTGATAAACCAATGTAAACAAGCTTTGAAATAAATTTAACATTTAAAAGCATGTGCAAAAAGATGTGGTGGAGCATTGGAACCATAAAAAAAAGCTTGCAAACGCATGTTATTAACATAAATCTTGAATAAAGTATAGCATTATTTGGAGAGAAGAAAATAATACGAAATTGTACTACAAAGATTGCTTAACGCCAACACCATTAAGATTTTCGAAAAGAAAATTTGAATGAAATTATTACCAATTCCGGCAAATAACATATTTAAATTATAACATTCTCTATTCATTATGATTATTTTCGAAACATATCTTTTTATGCATGCATCAGGATGCCATCGGTCACGTAGGCAGTTCTCGCGTTAATCAGAGGACCAAGTGGTAATTTCTCGCACTGTTCGCAAAAAAAAATATATACGTGTGGGAGGAACGAAAAAGTCAGTAAAATAATAATTTTAATTAATATGTTCTCCACTAATTAAAGTTATTTTCAACTTCTGCAGTCGTTTATTATTCACGCGTTCGCGGATGATACAGTTCCATTTATATAACGTCGTTGTTACATAATTGAGGCATTGATGTTGGCGAGTTGCGTATGCAAATGCATATAGTTGGAGAAGAGCGCCTCGTGTCGCGATGCAAAAAACGGAAATCCGAGATGAAGATGCAGAAATATGGTGGCAATGCGTTTTTTTTATTCCTCGATCGCAAACAACAATATCATAATGACAATAGAAGAATACCAATGCCACTTCCAGACGTCTAAATATATAAAAGAATAGAGGAGGTACAGAGAAGAAAACAAAACTAATACGAACAAACAATAACAATTTTCCGTCGTCGCAAATTTCTTGAACACGCAGACGTTCGAGTGTTTAAAAACAATTTACAATGTCTTTAAAATACGTATATTTTCGACTTTAAATTGTTCAATAACCTGATGAAGCCGTTCTCCGCAATCGATCACCTTGTGAGCTCGAATGCAATTACATTATTTACACAGGAACAAAAAATCTCACCAATCGAAGTGTGAATGCGCACAATTTGTTTTCCGTACGTTACGAATGTTTACAGCAACAATTTGTTCGTTCGATTGAAATTCGCTGGTGTGCATTTCGGGCGAGGAATGGTGATAATTGGTATAGGTGCGAATGCAGGATGATCTATACCATGCAGGATGGTACAGATTTGGTTTTGTGAGCATGCATCAACAATAGAACGATGTGTGTCTGCACATGCCAACCTGTAACTGATTAAACTTTGAGCCGAAAAGGTCACAAAAATGACAGATATCAATTCATTTCAATTCCTTAACCTCTAACTTTCGTAGGTCAAGTAGTTTCAGAGCAGATTAATAGCAAAATGAACGAACGGGGAGCGGCGAGAGGTGTAGGCGCTGCAGCACATGTGCATAAATGAACAATATGAATCGAAAAACATCGGTCTCAACTCGTCCATTGCTAAAATTGGTCAAGTGTAAGTTTTGCTGTTTCTAGAAAATAATGCAGCAGTTTGTAGAGTCGGACGTGTCAAAAAACGGCAGGATCAGCAGGAAAATGCGAAATTTTCAACCACTTACGTCACCCACGTGGCGCGTAGTTTTCTGCAAATCGCGGTAAAACGAAACAACAAACTGTAGTAGTAATTATGGATGTGCGCGAGTATAGGTAGCTGTCCTGACCATAACACACGGACGAAAACAAAAGTAAATGAATAAATAAATATAAAAAAAATAATATGCAGAAAGGTGAATGCGAATTCGTCGATGCGGTTGTAATGTAAAACTTGACGAGCGTAATTAAATTTCTGTCCAGCACGAAAATTTCACTTGGACGTACGTAATTCAATACAATGTATGTAACTGGCGAAAACAAACTGCGTCCATTCAGTAACATGTAATTAGTCCTACAATGTAGGATAATTAATATTGAATCATTAGTTGAATTACATGTTGCACAAAAGACGTATTGAGTGGAAGCTCTACGTTCGCTGCTGGTGCTGACACCTATTATCCTGCGAGGGAAGCGTCAATTTGCATACAATCGCGCGATCTTGATACAATTTGTTATTTATATAAGTAATCACCGTAATAATATCGATGCGGAATTGTTCCTCCGCGGTGCTCCGATAAGCTCTGGATGCAGCTTCGAACAAATTACGGCCTGTGTACAGGAAGAGTCCATCTTGTATCGCAAATAATTGATTTCGCCTCCAGGTTGTCTGCCTTCGCCAAACAATACAGAAATTACATTAATACTTTGCTTTTTTTGTATCTCTGTTTGTTAGCGAATTCTTCTACAAATCATCCTTTTTGCATATAATAACTTAATTGCATGCATGTATCATACAACTATCATCACTAAATCCAACTTTAAAAAATATCCTAGTATTGAGTTTCCGAAAAGTTCATTCATCATTGAAACTTATATCAAATGCCCTACAAGTTTAAACTACAATATTTAGACACACTTTAGTTACCGTAATTTACAGACTATTTTACAAGAAGAAATGTTCTTAAAATTAGGGTACATCTCATATTTTTTTTAAATAAATTATTACTTATTATTTTACTGTCAACTAAATTTTCTTATTTATTATCTAATAATAACTTTTTTTGTAGTTTAAGAAATTTGGTTTATATCTTAGGTAAAAATTGGATGTGTGTGACAATTTAAATAATACAAAATATGTAATAAAACAAACAAATTACTTTATTATAGTTCAAATAAATTAGTCTTTGAATAATAAATGTAACTTCTAGAATTATGAATTATGTGCTAGTTTTTAGTATTAGAAGAACTAAACCCATTGTATTTAATGAATTGATGTAATGACGAATCGAATATGAAAATTGAAGTAGTAACTCTAAAAATGAACTTTTAAGTGAAGTCACTATCGACATAAGATTAAAACCGAAAGTGTAGCATCTTAATCATGAAGTGAACTTAGCTTTAGATAAATGAAATAGGTATTTCACGTAATTCAAACAACTGCATCTTCCACTTCCCCAAGTAGGCTCAATGTACTCATCAGTGTACTACATTTGAAAAGCGTGATCTCCTCATGCTATCAAGAAATTAGCCTCTGATAAAAGACCTGATAAAGCGGCGATATAAAGCGATTAATGCCAATACTTTAACGATAGCTATGAATTTGAAGAGCAGCATTTACCATCTTCGTGGAAAACCAATGAACACGAAATACGTAGTTTCAATATATTCGCGAAATATGTTGGAAATGAAGTAATATGTTTAATAATTATGCAGCGAATTTGAATCGAAGACTTTATGAGCTATTAACATTTTAAGTGTCCGGCTGCAACAAATTAAGCACTAATGGATGCTATGACCTCGGGTACAATCTTTATTCCATTTCGAAACGGTGCCTAGATCTGCCGCCAATTGTCGCCGTTAGTGACATCTGTAGCATTCCGACAGAGGCCTTCAATTTCAAAACCGAATTATTCAATTCCCTTCAATGATACCATTTATTAACGATTTCAATTGTTAGAAGACAACTAAGGTCTCTGCCATTTCTACGACGAAGTAGTAGACGATTTCAAGATCAAATTATCAGAGCGTAGGCTAAATGCACTAAATACTAAAATTTGAGAAAATATAAGCGAAAAGACCCTTTGGCTCACATTGTGTCCAATAAATATGTTTAAGTAATAAGTTTTTCTGAGCTTTAAACTAATACACAATTTTTTATACCAATATTAATATATGAATTGTGTCTTCAGATTTAAGTTAAGTATAAGTTGTTTAAACATCAAGTATATTGAGAAATAAGCAATGTAAAATAGTAAATACTCATTTCGTTAAGTTAATTAACTTATTTAGGCGGAATTTATTATAAAACTGTATATGATAAATATCATAAGACGTGAAAATAGTGTTTAATATTTTTTAGTACTATTCAATTTGATCATAAAATGAATCTAAGAACAGTGTGCTTTTAAGAATTTGTTAAATTGAATATCCATCAGACATTAATTTGCTTTCTAGGAAATCTGATACAATTGGCATTGATAAGCGCGAAAGAGCTTTATTCGATTGTGGTACACATCTTATGCAAGTAATATTTGAAACGACTGGCGCCATCGGGCGTGCAGTGATTGAAGCTCTGAGCTGTTCGCGGGCTCTAAGAGATGGTGGTACAGTGAAACATATTATTAGTAATACTAATGTTTTTTCTTCTATGAACCTGATAATATTTGATAAAACGTGGTGCGTGTTTGAAAATGGGCTAATTCGTAATATAATAAGAAAGTAATAATAATAATGCAAAAGAAAAAGGAAATATATCTGTACCTGAACATTGTATAGCAATCTTCCCTATATCCCATAAATAGTCTTTGCCTAAAAGATAATACAATTAAGAATTTAGAATAGTATTAAACTTTTGTATACTTACAGTGAACACACTGGATTGGATTTGAAATATAAATTATTGTAAATTGATGACTAGTATTGTGTAATTCAGTCTCTGAAAAAAATGAAAGTAATGAGTTTATTGTTTTTATTTGAAAATTATGAGTGTTACCTGATGTGGTGCCCCCTTGTTGTTCAGCACTTTGAAGATGGTGACTTGTCTCTGAACCAATGTACTTGAGTACTTCAACTGAAAGTATTCACATAAGATTAGATTAGTTTTTAGTTGAAGAATGCTTTGGGTTTTGGATGACTCACCAGGTACATATCCTTTGATGTGCTTGGTTTGGTGGTAGGCATACAGCCACCCTTTTGGACAACCCGATACTCTTTGTACATATACTAAGAGTATGTCACCCCTCTTAACTGGTAAAGCATTGCTGTTGTGCAGGTCTGGCACAAAGCTGTGCATAGCTTGGTAGTATGCAGCATCCATAATTTGATAGAACTGAACACTGTCTTTTGAGAGAGCAACCTTACTTGCATTATAGTCCGACTGTAAATGTTTTGATTCACAGACCTAAACATGTCTAATTTCCTTGGGTACTTGTACCCATCATTGTCCAGCTCATTTTGATCTGGTTTCTTCTCTAATATTGCTTCATTATATATCACAACGTTGACACAGCAGGAAAGAACAAGGCACTTTAAACAAAACTTATTGCTTTTTCTGTAAGAAACCCAAAATCCTGGGGAGCATTTGCAGCGGTGCTATGATGCTATCGACTTTTTGGTTAGGAATCGCGTTCGAGCTGGTTTCCTGTTGGGCATCCTCCCAAAACTACTGCAGCGTGACCAGTATTTCCATGAAACTCGAACACTCGGTATATCGAAACAGAACTTTATATTCACTAAATCAAATAATGGCGTCCGTAGTCACAAACTGAGGACAGCAACTGACAGAGACACTACAAGGATTCAAGCTAGACCCTGCGCGGTAGGAGAGAGACGGAATGTTACCTATTAAACGTCAGAATGCTACCAACTCACTCCCTACCCTACCAATACCCTTTTAAGGTACTGCATTTTCAACCCCCCACCCAATGATCCACTGCCCCATTGTATATACTTTCCGATTTCATTGCTCCACAAACGGCGAAGGGTGAAGAAGTCATAGAACTCTTAATGCCATATTATTTTTTTTAAAATTGCATTTTTTTATTATGCATAAAACACGAAAAGAAATATGACTAAGCCAATAACACATACACTACTTTAAAAACGTTAACAACAAATAAACTGAAAAAAATACACTCTGTATATAAAATTGGTTAAACCACTACAGGTGATTTTGTCTATGGAAATTAAACAAACAAAAAGTTTTATAATATCCCTGAGCAATATTTGTTATGCAGGAAGTGGCGACTTTTAAAATATCATTGCGTCACTTCCTGTCTGATACCGCTTTTGAAGACAAAATCAGTAACATAATCTCATAAACTATTGTCATAATTTAAAATACATAATAATATAAACAAAATATTTTAACACCTAAATACTATTATACCTCATATCACTTTTCATTCTAGTAGAGTTTGTGTTCGTGAAATACTATATACATACAAATAAATATATATATATATAAACAAACATAAATACTTAAAATTGACATGAACACAAACTCATCTAATTATATATACAATATATATATTACTTGTTATCACAAAGTGTAACTGTGTACACACATATTACATTAAAACATTAACTAATAGTGTTGGACAAATCAACAGAAATAAAGCTTTTTAGCTATAATACTTGAAAAACAAAACTGAATGAACAAAACGATATCAATTATTAAATGAAGGACGCTTGCCCTCCCTGACAATTCTTAGTGCCCTCAGCACTCCAACTTTATCTAATTCTTGCTGTGTAGGCTTTTCATTATCCAAACATATTTCTACATAATTCTCTTTAAAGTATTCAAGAACCTTGACTCTATAATCAATAGTAGTAGATACAGGGTTTCCTGTTAAAGAGATATTCTCCAGGCATGGCAGATTGCCTAAACATGCTACATTCTCTACTTTCATGATATTGTTTGTACTTAAATCAAGGTGTTCCAAGGAATATAGTTTAGAAAGGCCATCAACTCTCCACAAACCATTTTGAGAGAGATCCAATGTCGTGATATTACCTAACTTGGTGTGCATATCATCGCACTTCACAAGTTTATTATTGGAAAGATGTAGATGGCGTAAATTTGATAACATAAACAGGTTATCTAATTGCTTAATTTTGTTATTATTCAATATCAATCTCTCTAAATTGGGTAGTAGTTTGATAGTCTCATCAATCCTGTCTAAATTATTGGAACTCAGATCCAATAAAGTTAAGCTAGTCCAAATCTGAAAAAAAATCAAATAAATATTTTCTTCTAAATACCAAAAGATATTAATTACCATTTTCGTATCCATCGTGCTTTTGTGCAGAACGTCACATTGCAGCACTTGCATTATGCTAGTTAAACCATTATTTAGTACACGTAATTCCACTAACGATGCTCGCAAACTGTCCGCTGATGTAACCATCTCCATATTTATCCCTATAACATCCAATTGCCGTAGTACCTAGAATAAAGCTAATTAGAAATATTCCTTCTTAAATAAATAACAATTATACCTTAAATGGTGAAAATTCTATGGGTAACTCATTAGGTATAATATTACTATTCATGTGCATAGACTTATCACCTCTAAGAGTGAGCTTATTAAGCTTCGAACAAAAGTCCAAAACATGACTAATATCAGTAGATCTGTCTACGTTGTATACATATGGGGAAGGTCCCCTGACACATTCTCCAATTGCATGTAGCTGGAAAAAAAAGAAATATTAATTGAAATGCAAAACATTAAAAATAAAATAATATTTACCTGCAATGTATTAAAGAAAAACGAGTTCGTAGTAGATAAAATATTATCAGCTTCATTGTAAAAGTAAGATGCCTGTGCTTGTAGCATATAGAAAGTGTCATAATGCTGGAATTCCAGAAACTCGTAGTAGTGTTGTGGCATAGCTTGCCTAAGGTAAATTAGTGTGTAACGGAGATATTGTTCCAAACCATGTCTCCTTTTCTCAATAAAGTAAGGACACTTATTCCTCAGTAATCTTTTTGGTGGGAGCTGGTCTTGTGCAAGTCCATGTTCTGAGACAAGGGTCTGATGGAGAGCATAAAATTCGCGGTACCGGTGTAATACTGTCCACTGAACCTTGCCAACGCTCATATTAATACGGTAATGGGTTATCCCACTAACCTCTTCACTAACTGGGATCTGGACGTTCGTCGACGCCAGATTAGACCAATAACTCGCCATCGTTATAATTATGACTTAGTTGTTCAATGATCACATCATTTCTCTAACTTGCAGAAAGAATTTTTAAAAACAACTGCGACTGCTACTGATGACTATTTGCAACGCAATGGTCGGTTGTTTCTGCTGGTTCGCGCGAATTCTCTTCTTTTTTTCGAAGTTCGTTACACCACCGCCAAAAGACGGTTAGTTACCGTTATAATTCAAAATAAACTAATTTATTTTCACTTAAATCAAACCCCATAGCTAATACAATATTTCAATAAAAATCTGAAATTATTATTGAAAATTTATGTAATTTTAAAGGTTGCCAACTACTAAAAATTTAATTATAATCATGTTAAACTCAAACTTTGATTCTATCGCACGTTATAGATTGTAGAACCATCTATTAACAACACTGAGAATTACTAAAATCAAAATCGTATCACGAAAATCTGATATGAAAGGTCGTTGGTTAAATTCCCAAAAACCAACAAAAATTTGTGGTGGCTGTTAAACCCGAAAGGGGCAGAGATTTATATCAATAAATAAATTAATATAAATCTCTTAAAAAAAATACAGCATTCAGGATGTATTAACATCATTCATAATTCAAAGAAATAGAATTCTAAGACTTTTATTATACTATGACTAAATCTTTTCGCCTCCCACGCTGCATTTATAGATGCAAATCATTTGGTAGATGATAGCATACATATTTTTAATCACTTTCTTAAAAACGTTCTAATTTTAATAAACATATCAGAATAGTGCTTGAATGAATCTTATGTTATTACTTCAATATAATACTTTAAATGCTTCTTCTTATTATTACTTTTCGAGTTTTATGCGATTTAATTTACAGACGCAGAGACATTTTTCGGAATATTCAGGAAACAGTCTGCAACCAAACATATACATACACTTTGAAACAAATAGGAACACAACGACTTGGATAATGATCTGTATTTTAGTAAACTGGAGCTCCCAGAAGAATGTTATAAATGGATGTTGATCTTGAATAGACACGAATTAGAATGAGTCCAAATTTTAATTTGTAGCTGCAATGGTGTCCTCGTAATTAATTAACAAACTTTGGTATTTCAAAAATGAGTTGGGGAAAATAGCGTCTTCGAAAAAGCCTTGTATTTTCGTAAAGATGAGCTCCCAGAAGAATGTTATAAATGGATATTGATCTTGAATATACACAGATTAAAATGAGCGTAAATATAAGATTATAGCTGCTATAGCTAATTACTTTTCGACTTTTATGCGTATTAATTTTTACAAGCAGAGACATCTTTCGGAATATTTAGGAAACAATCTGCAACCAAACATACATATAAACTTTGATAAACAAGTAGGAAAACAAAGATTTAGATAATGGCCTGCATTTTCGTAAAAATGAGCTCCCAGAAGAATTTTATATATGGATGTAGATCTTGAATATACGATGATTAAAATGAGCATAAATGTTAATTTGTAGCTGCAATGGTGTCATCATAATTGATTAACAAATTTTGGTATTTCTCAAATGACAGCTGACTAAATGTCTTCGAAAATGGCCTGTACTTAAAAATTAGCTCTCAGAAGAATATTAGGAATGACTGTTGATCTTGAATATACGTACATTCAAATAATCGTAAATATAAGATTATAGCTGCTATAATTCTTATTAATTGACCAAAACTAACGTATTTTATAGCAAACGAAAGCTAAAGAATTATTCTTTAAAAAAAGTAAATTGAAATTTAATAATATATATGAATTTATCGGGTCTATATTGCAAGCCCGACGACCGAAAGACCGTCTATTGAAATCCCGACGTTCGAAATCCCGAGTGTATCGAAATCCTGGCTGCCCCGGCTGTATTTAAATCATGACGCTTGAAATCCCGACTATGTCAAAATCCCGACTATATCGAAATCCCGATTACCATAATCACGACAATCAAAATCCCGACTATATCGAAATCCCGACTACCATAAAAACGTTATTGTAGAAATTTATAATAATAAAAGACACTGTCGAGATTATACAATCAGAATATACTTGATTATTATCAAGTATATTCTTTTTAAAGTTTAATAAATAATTTCATAATTTCTATGTTTTTTTTTGCGTTTTTTTCTCTCTGCTTTCTTCATTAAATAACATCCACAATTACACCTAAAATATCACATTTCTTTGGTTAAAAATTAATAACAATTTGTTCAATTTAGAAAATATCCCTCAACAGTCGCTCGTGAACACATCGTTATTCATCTCCAATTATTCTGTCCAGAGTACTAATTAAGAGGACAAGCGTTGGAATTTTGTAAGCCATCGTGCAAATTATTGACCTATGATATGTGAGAGGTTGCGGATCAGGTCAACAATTTTGATACCGCTGAGGAAGCTATCTAACAGCGTGATGCCATCTGTGGGTAGTACCTGATGACTGATGTCTGCGAAGGAGTACATCTGGTGATCGATGTTTTGGTAAATGTGAAAGTATGTCGTGCGGGGGCGCCATGGGTGCAACGATCGATGGGTGTCCGACCCAGGATTCGGTTTGGCCTGTTTGTGTAGAAATCTAGTGTCGGCGTTAATAGTACTGACGGCAGTTTGCGCAGTGGGATAGGAATTTGTAGCCGTCACGGCGCAATAACCAATATGCACTGCACTTGCTCTCGAATATGGCGAAAGTATGGCGCATGTAGTGTGTGGTGTTCGCGAGATAAGTGAAGTGCTGTGACTTTGATGTTATTATGTTCGAAAATGGATAAGTGATGTTGCATACTAGTAAATAAAGAAAGCGAACCGTGGAAGAGCAAGACGTGCGATTATTATTCAAGTGTATGTTACTTGTTTTGGTGAAAAGTTTGGGGAAGAAGAGTATAATAAATAAACGTCGGAATCATGTCGACGGATAAAATTAAGGTTGCTGTGAGGGTTCGTCCTTTCAATCGCAGAGGTAAAGAACTATATATCAAACATTAACATTCAACAATAATACTTAGTACATACACAGACAATTTCAAGTAGTCTAGTAGATATAAAAAAAATATATATACACAAAAACATACGTAACCAGTTCATACGTGGTGTGCTAAATATTTACATTGTAGATTTGACATTGATGAGTTATTTAAAAGATAGACTTTTGTTAATTAGAACGAATTAGGCGTGGTAATTAATTCTTTTTAATCTTATCGCGCTACCTTATCTCGATTACGATCTAGTTCTGAGAGGCAAATAGTCTCCTAATGCTACAGGTTCGCATGAAAAAGAACAAAAAGAAGAGACCTGAGTAGAAACAAAAGAAGAACTTTATAACAGGTCCTTTTCTTCTACCGGTCGCGCGGGTGAGGATTTATCTCCTTTTTTATTCTGTTTCAGAAAATGAACTTGCGACTCCCTGTGTCGTCGAGATGGACAAGCAACAGACGGTCCTCCACCAGGCGACCAATACTTTGGAGAAGAATGATAGGTGAGGAATCTGTTCAGCTAGCTAGGATTCAACTATGCACATGGGATAGCAATTCCCGAAACGACCATTAGTCCGTACAAGTTACCCTTATTTATTTACATGGCATGGACTATATGGCACGCACTTTCAATCCTTCCCCAAACATTTGCTTCGGGTGCGATTGCCCCAACCGGATTCGATATACGTCGCAACGCGATCGTTTCGACACCAAGAAATTGAACGTTAAATAGAGCGAGACTTGAAAACAATAATTAATTCCGTCACGTGAAACAGACAATATTTCAATTGGATGACCAATGGACGAAGTGTAAAAAATATGAATTATAACGATTATCTCCGATTACTGTCACAAGCACGTGTTTCGAATGCGAGCAAGGGAAAGTGATTTCGTTTCCAATATGTGGATTGTATAAATCGCAGAGTTCACTCCCAGGACTCCCTATCTTTAGGAAGCGAAATATACCGAAGGTTACGATAGTGGGAGATATCTGCTTTTGCGTTGATATTATGCTCGGTTTTATTTCAATCTTTATTTATTTTTTGTTCGAATTTTCAGTCCCATAGCAGCAATCAGGCGTATTGATTCGATGGGCCTTTAGGGCACGTAACCCTTAACTGTTCATTTGAGGTGATGAACTACCTGCGGGCTACATGCGGCTACCTCGTAAATCATTGCACCGGCTTCAATTCTTCCTTCTTTGTTCCTTCTTCACAAATAGCAGTGCCAAAAGGCCTTTCTTTCGCTTTCTACATTTCCGCAATCGCATTTCGCCAGAACCGGTTTCTCAACAACTATTATATCACTCTAATATTTTTATTTTGTAATAAGCATTTTAACCAAAAGAAACCTGTTTTTTTGTGTTCTACACTTTTCTTCTCCTTCCTCCGCTGCGCACTAAAATAGCCGTGATTTCACCACGGACCGTTACAAGAGCGAGTTCCTAGAGATTCCTCTAAAAATAGATTTCACGAAGGGGATGCGTTCTATTTTTGTGGGGATTCGTGCCTTTTAATTAAATTTCATCCCCGGAATTGTCCCTGGTAATTGCGCTGATACACTTTACTACGGATTTCCCAAGGGTCGGAACATCTCCAAAACCAACTAGTTGTGCATGCATATTATATAAAATCACCGTTCGTAATTGAATCGGTTCTAGAAACTTTCTAAAGTTGAAGTACGAGAACAAAAACACACCGGCAGTATTGATTTTGCGGTTAAACACTTTTCGGGGGAGTGTAAAAAAAGGGGTAGATAAGTCGAATGTTTGAACACTTTATCTTATCGGCGTTTCAATTTCGTCTCCCTTTCTCTGTCTCTCTTTACTCTTGAACGTGCGGAGTTTGTAGATTCGTCAGGGGGTATGTACAAAGGAGTTTCGGCAAAGCCTCTATAAATAAGTCGAATGAGTCAGGTAGCATTCTGGGCATGAGGTCTTTATGTAAATTAAGTTGGTCGGCAAGAAGCAGAAAGGTGAGAGACGAAGAGTAGTTATGGATAGCGAGTTTTATGTACGTACGAGAGAGAAATAATGGTAGAATTGAATTGGATGATGTCATCGATTGTTACCTGTCCCAGTTAATAAACCGCCTATTATGAATTCGATTCGCGAAAACTGCGCTGCGGAAAAGGGGTCTTTCTTTATGGAAATGCCAAGGGCCGAGGCTATAAACAAGTCATTCCTTATTTCCATTATGGAAAATAGAACTGGAGCCCTATTTGTACGCCGGGTAAATTCCATTTAGAAAAGCCAGGTGGAAGCTTCTAAAATATCAATACATTCCCTTCGCGCTGCCAAAGTGGATGAAAAAGATGCGGACAGAGAATGGAACGTAATAAGCAAATGTAGAAGAAAGGAAAGATGAGGAAAACCAGGAACTGTTTTAATCCCGAATTGAGGCTGAAATAATTCCCGGCATCATAAAACCTTCCCCAATTCCTTTTCGGGTCGCCCTATACCTCCTCCCTAGCTTCCTTCCATCTTTCCCCCATAACATCCCACCCACGCGCAAGCATTTACGTATTCCGCCTGTGCTCGAATCAATAACGCACGCCGTTTGACTAATTAACACGCCGCCTAATTAAAGATCATTAGCGGTGTTGAATATTGATTTGTTTTCTTATTTACAGGAAGCAGCCAAAAACGTTCGCCTTCGATCACTGTTTCTACTCGGTCGATGCCAGCTCCGACAAGTTTGCATCCCAGGAAGTCGTTTTCGACTGCTTGGGACGCGATATCTTGGACAATGCGTTCCAAGGTTATAACGCCTGCATCTTCGCATACGGACAAACGGGTAAGGATGTACAGACGTGCTATGACCCATTTCCATCTCGATAGGCTTTCCGTTCTTGGTATCGTTTCATTCAATTATCCGGCATTCACTCGAGAAGCATTGTTAATAAGTTTCGTTTAGCATTGCAATCGCCAGATATTTGTCCCCTTGTTTAAATGCTATCGCTCCTGAAACTCCGTACGAACAACAATAGATTTACACGCTTTAATGATTGTTCCGTTTTCCAAACCGTTGAAATTATTACGAAACATCTCGCTGTACCGACCGTTCACGTTTTCAACCTTGCAGAACAATGTACATTGATTTTGTTTTTTTCTTACTTATATTTCAACTTTTCGCAATAACCAATTCCAATGTGACTGTAATAATTATTTATACTTTTAATTACTACTAGTTAAACACGTTTCTCATGGTACAGTTAGATTTACAAATTCATTTACTTTGAAATAAATTCATTCTAGCTTCAACTTATTTAATTTCTTTTGATTTTAAAAATACAATTAAAAATTTCCGATTTATAATATACAAAACTTCGTCAACTGAATCAACATCGGTTGGTATGGCCTATCAAAATTCATCCCTTGACATACCAACCAAATTAAAGTACCTTTTAATTTTCTCTTTCCTGGATATTTTTTAGAAAATTATAATAATGCCCCACTAGGCATGTTCAAAGAGTTGAATTCTAAAGATCTTCAACTAAAATTTGCTTTGAATAAGAAACAATGAACGCTGTGATTACAAAAAAGTACTTAAATCACCATAATTGTACGTAACTGTATACTGGCTGCACGGTGTTGCAATTAGTTTTTGCAATAGTTCTTATTATTGCGTGACGCTTATCGCGTTAATGATGCTAAAACGAAGTTACATTTAGTTTCGTAAAATGCACTATTTTTCTTTGAAAATGAAGAAAAAGCGTTTGCAAATTATTAAGATGTTTCAAGATTCATGTATTATATTTGCCCAATCACCATGCCGGAATAGAGCTGACATGATTCAATTCCAGTTGAACTATGATCTTCTGGCAGCACCTTTACTGAAAGCAATACATTTAATCAGCTCAATAGATCGATAGTTTCTTGAACTTCTTGCGAGACCTCCAGGCGGTGTTTTCCACTCCCCAAGGACTCTTTATGTTTGTTATTTCAAGTAATTTAATAACATTTCGATAAAAACGACAAATAAGGATAATGAACAAACACACATTTGTATATATTTTATATTTAATTTGTTGTTTCTAAATTCTAAAAAAAAAACGAGATTAATTGTCATACTTCAACTAGTTATTTAACTCATTATAGTCAGTATTATTTTATATAATAATTATGTAATGTATAAGATAATATAAATATTTCATAAATTAACTGCTGATTTCATGAAATACCAAGGTATTACATATAATAAGGATATTATAAACTTTAATGACGACATATATATTTATTACTGACTTCGTTTTTTTTTGCTAGTAAAGTTGTTGGTTTTAACTACACAGTAACAAAAGAAAAAGACTTGTTTAAGATTTTGCTACATTTGCAGCGTGTCGAAATTTCATTTGATGCAGGGTATAAAATAAGACGTCTCGGTACATTAAATCTAAATATATTGAAGTGCTTTCTGGAGTTTTCTGTTCTATATTTTTTTTCACTCTGAATCCTCAATGTGCACGGCAAAAACCAGTGAATTTCATGTCCATACACTGAATAGAGAGCTCACGCAGTGCCGCAGATTATCCCTCCGGCCCTTTCTATGCCAAAGGAAACCTTTTCGGGCTCGAAATCCGTCGACAAGGCTCGGATCCGAAAAGTCAAATTAATGCTGTCTCCCTCTCGACCCACCCAAGGTTTTATCACGCTGCTGCGATCAATATTGGAAGATACACGCAGATATTACCATTTCAACGTAAAATCTAATTAATGGAATAACTCGCTTGCTTTATGTATAGTTCTTTGTAAAGTACGAGCTCAGCGAGTCCAACAATAGTTATGAAATTCAATTGTGAATGAATATCCTTTCATTAAAATGATACTCTGCATAAAAAAATATATGTGTGTGAAATGACAGTTTCCAATTTACTTGTAGCTAATCTATTATGCGGTATGTTCAGGGACTTAGCGAGATAATTAGTAGAAGAGAAATATTCATCGATTTTGAGTTGACCTAGAAACGACCAAACGAATTGTTATCACGATGCAAGGTTACGTAAAAAAGTGTAAGTTTTTAAGCTATTATCAAACATACAGGTTTTGTATTGCGTTCGATTGCGATTAGTTATGAAACTGAAGTGTGAAAAAAAAAACTATGACCCAAAAAATATGTCGCTTAATGTAAACATTGACGACGTTATCTAGCCCGAATCGATCGATCATAATTATATATTTGAGGTTTTTTTTCGTTATCTGGAGTTACATAATTCAGAAGCGAATTGTTTGCGTAAATGGGACACACGGATGAGTCATCAGGTTCAGGTTCTAAAGTTATACCTTAATAGGTTTAAATAACGCACCCCTCTGGTGCGGTGTTTAATTTCGGTGTTCCATCCCCTAATGTCGCATGTCGCGGGTGCCGCTCGCGTGCGCCGCGCCCACCTTTCACCTCTTTTTATTTTAGTTTGCACCCTTAATTAATTTACAGGCGGCGTTGATGCTAATAGCTATGATGATGGTGTTAATAATAAAGTAGAAGGAGTGAATACGTTGCGAGAGGAGAAGCAACAGCGAAAGATGAAAACAACAAAACGAACAAAAAAAACCTGTTTACTTTTACCTGCTAATAGGTGATTTGCTGTCGCGTAGAAAAGCCTTGAACAATATTTCAAGTTTGTGAATCATTGTACAAAAGGAGCAAATTGCATGAAACTGAGTCGGAACGATAATGCAATGCAATTAGAGACGGGAAACAAAGAGCTTTGATCCAATAAAGTGCATGAGTATTGTATTGAATGTATGCTCATTGCATTTGTTGATCTACTCGTAAGCCTCCACTAAGTAGGTCGATCCCACTTAAACCTCAGTTAGAACGGTATCGTCACTATTCACTCGACTGCAATTCAAATAAATACTTGCAAAACAACATCGTTTTTTTTCATCATCCCTATTGACAAAACATTCGCGGAATCACATATTTGTATTTAATCAATTCTCGATGCCAAATTAATATAGCTTCCCATATTTACTTTGTACCCGACATATTACTTATCCAATCGAATCCATAATCCAATTATCCCAAAATAAACAGTTATGGTCATTAAGCAAACAAATACGTATTGCGTCAAAAGTCGTGCTAATTAAGCGAAATATCAATACCTATGTTATTTTTTAATTATAAATATATTCACCGAATATTCAGGTGAGAAGTTACTTTCAATAACACATGAATCACCAAATACCTTCCATTGTTGGCGATGCAGCAATGTACTATAGTATAAGAAATCCAAGAAGATAAAACTATCATTATTATCATCTTAAAATTATATTTTTTTTATGAATGAATCAGCTAATAGGGTTTGAATGTAATTAACTGAATCTTTAGATTTTCTGTCTTTGAGTTTATAGCAAATTATTACAAGCATTTAGAAATTGCGTTAGAAATTCAGATAGACAATTTAAAGAAAAAGTGTTCTACTTCATAAGTAACATATGCTTTGCATTAAGAAGTCCTATTTCTTCAAGAAATATTGTTTCTACAATCAAATGTTTACAAATAATGAAATAATAATCAGTGAATTTGAAGTAAAATACTTTATTGATAGAAGTATTTCATACTTGAATAGGATATTAGATATTTGCTAATAACAAATTTGATAGTAGTTTTACAGATGGAATTATTCGTACAAAGTAATTGATCGATAAATTGGTTTGTTTACTAGCAAACTTTATAAATGTTAACATTTTGAAATCAATCACATCGTTGTCGTATACTTATTTTCTAACAGACATGACAAAATTGGCTTCATAATTGATGATTCAATTAGCAAAGGTGTTTTAAAACTTTGTACAACCGTACAACGTTCTCAAATAAACAACTATACACATAAATAATTAATAAATAGAGCTGTGGGATTGAAGGTCGTCAATATTCAATCATTTGCGCTACTTCTAAATTGTCCTGAAAACGTGACCTTGAATCCTCTGAACTGTATATGACGTTGGACTTCTTTTTTTAAAATTTGATACCCAGCACGCTAGTTACGTAATGACTGGCAATTTGTGTTCGGTTATCGTTCAAAGGGCCGATCAAGATAAACGCAATTGCTATTATAACCAATTTTTTTAGATCTCCAAAATCCGAAAGGTTGGAGTTTCATGTACAAAACAGGTGTGTCCTATTTAGGTGAATAATACCTAGACCTTGTTATGCGGCTTTGTGCCAGAATTGGTGATCAATACAAAAAAAAAAGTTTGGTGTATGTATATCTATATATATATATATATCGTTGATAGGTGTATTATCGATTGAAGAATAATTAAGGTCGGATCCCTTCGCCATGAAATTTAATAAAGCGAATACGGGAATGCCCAAACTCGGGGTTTGGTTGAAGGGGTTGGTTTTCATTTCGGTTTCCGTGGGAGCACGTATCCGAATCGTTGACGGAGGATGGATAGCGCGATAAAAAAATAAATAAATTCGTCCTGAATAAAACAGAGGACACATTTGGAAATCGGTGAAAGCCCACGACGCGAGGCAAAACGTCGGAATTGGGCAACGCAGAGGATTGCGTAACCGGATTGTTGACAGTTGTAATTGTCGGGGCAGGATCAATATGTCTCTTCTCCGCTTGTCTTCTTCTTTTTTTTATCGAATCGAATGTCTGAATATCTACGGAGAAGAAGATGAAAGGTTCCATGATCACGAGTCCGATTTGCATTCATCCGACTTTCTACAAAGGCGAAAGCAATATGAGTTATAGAGGAAACAAACCGAGGATACTCTCTTTATATGGAAAACCCGATTAATTGCTTCCTCTACTTCGCAACACTCCGCGGATTTCACTCGAAGCAGCAATAATAACAAAAACTGCGAAGAAGAAAAAAACACAGTATTGGATTGTATAACATTAATGAGGTTCTTGTGTTGTTATATATACATATATATTTTTTTTGTACTATTATTATTTCGTTCCTCTGCCTCTCTCGCTCTTGCTTAAAACCGTTGTTTCGTTATTAGAAAGTTATAGCCGTTGTTTTCGAGTTTTACACAGGCTATAAAATGCACTTATCGCTTCGCATGACGACGATTTGCAATCAGAATTTTTCAATGATTCACTCATTGCAAACGCGATTTGCATTCAATTGCATCTCTATTGCTCATATCCGAGGATGAGCGGATGCAAAAAAACCCAATAAGCTAAACAACTTGTTTTTTTTTAAATACTCTTCAACCTAATCGAATCGTTAAACTCGATTTGGATTAATGAATGCTTTTCAGATTGTGAGATTAAATTTCTAGGAATACCATTGATCGCTACGAACCGTATTGATAAAACTCCAATAATGATATGCGCTTTCCTCAATGAGCGTAACCGATATTGAAATGGCATTGGATGTTATTACATGTACATTTTCAATTGCGGATTGAGATTACATTCGTTCAAAATGATGAATTTGAACCTGCAACTGTTACATCCAAATTGATGAATAAAAGAGTACTTCTATTGTGCACAGAAAATGGGTCTCCTTGGAGATCTAATATGAGTATCATTCAATTTAATATGTCCCTTCTATCTCTTACGTAACATTTACATTCAAAAGTAGTCATAATTATAAAATGTATTGGTATTCTACAGAATGTCTCTTAATACCTTTTATTTGTAAAAAAATAATACTTAGACATTTTGGCAAAGTATATAAAATGAAAATATTTTTTTTTTAAATTAATTGAGTTTTTCAGAGCTGTTTTTAATTTTTTTCTAAAATCTAATAAAAATGTCTAGAATAACCTAATACTTGTAGAATTGTTTATACAATTGCTGTTATGCAATACCAATAAAAAATTTATTCTATCCACGTTTTATAAATTACTCAATAACTACATATACTAATTATATCGTCATGTTAAAAGATAAAACCATTGCTATTTTTTAATTATCCCGATAGTTTATTTTATGTATCTTGTAGAGTATCTCATAACTATTAACTTAAAATTACTTGTTCTTCCTTTGTTATCCAATGAACTTAGTTGATAGTTAAATAAATAAATAATTTTTAATACTGAAAAACTTTATGATTAAAAAGTTTAATTTTCGTTCGTTTATTCTGAAGCTTTTTGCTTATACAAAAGGTTTGAAGGATTACTTTGTAATTATTAAATCATAATTTTCTCTTTGAACGAAGTAAATTATACTTACTTAAATTATTTCTTTGTGGAACGTTTTCCTTTTGATGTACCGTGGTGCTAAGCCAATAATCAAGTAACCTTTGGAAATTTGTATGTTTAAGTAATAGTTAGTAATAGTGTATAAACAGGTATGTTCTCCTTTGAGAGAAACGACAAAACGTTAACTTTAAAATAAATATGCTCAATCTAATTGAATATTATAACAAATCAATGCTTTCTAAATGTAATGGATGATGTATATTTATTAACATAAGGTTTGATCTGCAAAGATCATTTTTGTGACAATAATAATAGTAGATTCTAGAGAATTGCTATACAAATTCCAAACTAATAGTCGTGCCAATAAAATCGTGAAGGCTTTGTGTATGGTCGAAGTAATGTGATTAGCGACATGAATTAGCAAATGTACGTTTTGACAGGAAAATCGATTGCGCCATTCAAAATTAAATAACAATGAAGTAGATTGAATATCAATTATCAATGCTGACCCATTTAAAGTCCGACGGTGCGTTTGCATCATTTAGTATAGAACTAGTTAATAAACGATTTATTATTAACTTGTACGTTGTTTAACTCCCAAAAAAAAAGAAATTAAGTATCAATGATCATAAAATCAATAATCAATGGAAGTGATTAGTCACAAATTCTAGTTTATTATTTCCAATAATTCACTTTTTCCTCTATTTGTAATCACTTTGAACGAAACTTTAAATTATTTGTTTACATTAAAAAATATTATGGATAGGAAATTGCATGTCACAGTTGTAAAAAAAGAAGTTTGAGTAAATGGATTTCTTGCAGCAGCAACAGCATAAAAGCTCAAAGAAATAATTCATGCATTATTAACTAAATAAGATGTTTGTTCTTCGTAATTGCACCGTTATTAAGTTATACATTAAACTTCGCACGTGTCGTAGGGAATAAAAAAGCACAATGTTGACACAAAACATGGGTCTTTAATTAACACGAATTCAAACGCTGCATGTGTTAAATGCTAGATATTTGATCTGTGAAAAGTGAAAAGCAAATATGTTATGTCCATGAAATTTTTTTTCTTGTGAATTTCTCGCGAAAGGATAAAAATCTACTATATATATGCAATAGGATTGGCGTCGAGCAGGGTTGGGATTCGGACTTCAAACACTTGAATTTCCTAACACGTTTACTCTTGGCCAAGGACTTCCATCACGGCTACAGGAAAATAGAGATACTTAACCTTTACATTTCTCTTTCGAAGGATCAAATCCTAGTTTGAAACGTGCACATTGTTGATGACTTCATTATTACCTTAATCTTGGTGATCTAATAAATCCTGAATTACAAATCCCATTTTGCTATGATGTAATTAATTCTACCAGACTCCATCAATATAAAACATATAACTATTTTCTTTTTTTTGTACCACAATAAAGTTACATCACGTTTTTTTTATTAATTTACAAGTATTTTACTCTTATTACAACGATTTAAAAAAACTTTTAAACTGAATTCTTTTTTGTTAAAAAAAATCTAGAAATTTCGTTTTAGGAAGTCAATATGATTACGCTTTGATCAGATCTTGTGTCAATTTGTATAAGTATCCATTGGGGATAATAAGTAACATATGTTGTTCATGTTGAAACAACAGTGTGTTTGTCAAATAAAACCTGGTAATTATTACAATGACCTGATGACAATTCGGGAAATCAGGTAATTTATCTTATCTTTAAGTCAATTTATTTGAAATGTCATAGCTATTTACTTTGGGAAACATACAAATAAATTAAATGCATAGTATTTACGATGCAATTAGTAAATTAATAACTTATGTGTGTGTTTATTTTACGTCGGTGGGAATAATTCTGTTGAGTCATCAATTATATGTATTGCAAGAAATAAGCTGCACTTTGCCATTTTCATTATTTCCGTAATTGTTGTTTTGTTGTCAGTTTTTTTACAGTACATTTAGAATTTGGATAATATAATATTGTTTAAATTATTTTTATTGTGCTTTTAATGGGTCATAAATTGATGTTGGTTGATTGGATTTAGTAATCAAGTTTTATTGAATTTTCAACGTTTTCCAATGCAATCAATCCAATTGGAAGAAATATTAATTGCCTGGAAGGCAGTAACGTCTGAATAAAATATCAGGTCGTAAACTTTAAATGGCAATCGCGTTTCGCTGCTAATTAAATCGAGGAGTTGATGGAATAATCGATACAAAGTCTTTTCCTGTACATTCGCGATAAGATAAGAAAAGAAAAACTTAGACATGTTGCTGGACATGCAAGGATTATCGGATTTCCTGCGGTCATGGGCTATTTCCGAAAATTTACAACCTGTTTATGGTTTCGTGCGACCTACTAATACCAGTCCATCGTGCTATCCGCAGGTTCTGGAAAGTCGTACACGATGATGGGAGCCCAAGATAACAAAGGCATTATTCCTAGATTATGCGATTCGTTGTTTGAGACCATCGCCAAACAGCAGAGCTCAGAGCTTAGCTACAAAGTTGAAGTGAGCTACATGGAGATATACAACGAGAAAGTGCACGATCTGCTGGACCCGAAGACGAACAAGCAATCGCTGAAAGTCCGTGAGCACAACGTCCTGGGGCCCTACGTGGACGGCCTATCCCAGCTGGCCGTAACATCATTTCAAGTGCGTTAATAACAAATGAGTCAGGGACGAGCCATTGATTTTATTTTGAACTAATTAATCTTTCAGGATGTCGATAATTTGATGGCCGAAGGAAATAAGTCGCGGACGGTAGCTGCCACGAATATGAACAGTGAGTCGTCGAGGTCCCATGCCGTCTTCACCGTGATCCTCTCGCAAACGTTGACTGACGTAAAGAGCGGTGTTTCCGGTGAGAAACAGAGCCGGATGTCTTTGGTGGATCTTGCTGGGTCGGAAAGGGCTGTGAAAACTGGAGCAGTGGGCGATCGATTGAAGGAGGGCTCCAATATAAACAAGTAAGCCAACGATAATACAATAGTATCAACGCCACGGTAGTTGCACGACTTCATTTCCAGATCGTTAACAACTTTGGGTCTAGTCATATCGAAATTGGCAGATCAGTCTTCAGGGAATAAAAACAAAGACAAATTTGTGCCATATCGAGATTCTGTATTAACATGGTTGTTAAAAGATAATTTAGGTGGTAATAGTAAAACGGTTATGGTTGCAACCATCTCACCGGCAGCTGATAACTACGAAGAAACTTTGTCCACCTTGCGTTACGCAGATCGCGCCAAACGCATCGTCAATCACGCAGTCATCAACGAGGATCCGAACGCAAGGATCATCAGGGAGTTGCGACAAGAAGTTGAAGCACTAAAAGAAATGCTCAAGCACGCTACTGTAAAGTTGATCACCATAGCAGCTACTTCTTGCATTCTACAACTATGTTTTTTCTAGGGTTCACCTGTTGGTGAGATTCAAAAGCACGACATTCACAAAAAGCTCAACGAAAGCGAAAAGTTATACAAAGAAATGTCACAGACGTGGGAGGAGAAACTCGTGAAAACTGAGCGTATACAGAACGAACGGCAGCAGACTTTGGAGAAGATGGGAATCAGCATACAGGATTCTGGCATCAAAGTTGAAAAGAACAAGTTCTATTTAGTTAATTTGAACGCCGATCCTTGCCTCAACGAATTGCTGGTGTATTACTTAAAAGTAATATGTCGATTTTCAATTGATCATAGATTATTTATTTGATAACATGATTGCAGGAAAGAACGGTAGTTGGTGCTAAAAGTAATTTGATAGGTGACGAACCAGATATCCAATTATCTGGATTAGGAATCCAACCAGAGCACTGCGTCATCACCATTGAAGATGGATGTCTCTTTCTTGAACCCCTTGCCAATGCTCGTTCCTACATTAATGGATCTCAAGTTTCAACTAAGACGCCACTCAAGAACGGCGATCGAATCGTTTGGGGCAACCATCATTTCTTCCGCGTCAATTGTCCGAGATCAATTTGTAAGTGCTTTGCAAATAATTATATTTAGCATAGTAATATGTTGAGATGTATTTCAGTATCGACGTCTGAGCCACAAACACCTGCACAAAATATTGATTACAATTTCGCACGTGATGAGCTTATGCTAAACGAACTAAGCAATGATCCTCTTCAAGCTGCAATAGCACGCATGGAAAGACAACACGAGGAAGATAAGAAAGTCGCGCTTGAAACTCAGAGACAGGAGTACGAGAGGCAATTTCAACAGCTAAGAAGTATTATGTCACCAACCACACCTTATCCACCTTATTCCTATGATCCGTTAAGATTCAAAACCAATCCATGCACACCGACTACTCAAATGCGTGTCGATGAGATGTTTAAGAGAAGCATAGGTCAACTAAAAACTGACATCCTGAAAGCCAATTCTTTGGTACAAGAGGCTAACACCTTGGCGGAGGAAATGGGACAGCACACTAAATTCAGTGTTACTTTGCAAATACCTCCAGCTAATTTAAGCCCGAACAGAAAGAAGGGCTCTTTTGTTAGCGAGCCAGCAATCCTAGTGAAGCGCAGCAACGTCGCTAGTCAAGTTTGGAGTATGGATAAGTTGGAAAACAAATTAATCGATATGAGAGACTTGTACGACGAGAGGCAGGACAAGGGCATCGACATCAAAGAGCAGATAGATTCCAAGTTGGATCCTTTTTATGAATCACAAGAAAATCATAACCTCATCGGCGTTGCAAATATATTTTTGGAATGTTTATTCGACGAAGTTCGTTTAGATTACCACACACCAATTATCAGTCAACAAGGCGAAGTTACTGGGAGATTACAAGTAATTGAATTCCCTAATAAGTACATAAAAGACCAAATTAAATTTGATCGTTTTTAGGTTGAATTGAGTCGCGTTTCTGGAGTGTTGCCAAGAGACCGGATTTGCGAAGCCGCCTCTGATAGTTCTTCGGAAACCAGTCACGAGGACGAGGACAGCGGTCCACAACAAATTACATGTCGCGTCGCTATAAAACAAGCATCTGGTTTGCCTCTATCTTTGTCACATTTCGTTTTTTGCCAATACACCTTCTGGAATCATCCTGACTACATCGTTATCCCAACTAACGAAAACCAGAATACAAGTGACAGTAGTCAAAACAATGTAATATCTACTCAGAAGGAATCTATCAAAGGAACCTTCAAGTTCAAACACGAACAGGAGTTTAATATTTCTCTCACCGATGAGTTTTTGGAACATTGCGCAGAAGGCGCTCTATCCATCGAGGTGTGGGGTCATCGAAGTGCAGGATTCTCACGTACAAAACCTGGCTGGGAGGTAGAGCAACAGCAATTAGCCAAAGCCAGGTCTCTAGCTGACCGTTGGTCTGAACTAACTAGGAAAATAGAACTCTGGGTAGAAATTCAGGAGTTGAACGACTTGGGAGAGTACACTCCCGTTGAAGTTAGCTATAAGAATGACAATGCAACTGGCGGTGTTTATCAGCTAAGGCAAGGCCAGCAGCGAAGGATACAAGTGAGAGTCAGGCCAGTACAGAACTCTGGAACATTACCAATTATATGCCAATCCATCGTTAAAATAGAAGTTGGAAGCGTGCTAGTACGTAGTCGATTGCAGAAAGCTCTGGACTCGTACCAAGAGGAAGATTTAACTGTGTTGAGAGAGAAGTGGAGCGACGCATTAATGAGACGACGACAATATTTGGACCAACAAATGAAGAAGTTAATTGACAAACCAGGTATATTAACATACGTAATTATAATAATATGTAATTACTTATTAAATTTATTTTTAGATAAAACTGAGCAGGATATCGAAAGAGAACAAAGTTTGGTGGATCAATGGGTCAATTTGACTGAAGAGAGGAATGCTGTATTGGTGCCAAATCCTGGTTCAGGTATTCCAGGAGCACCTGCAGTTTGGACTCCACCGGCTGGAATGGAGCCATATGTACCAGTCCTGTTCTTAGATCTTAACGGTAATTACATATATTAGTTTTTCTCTGAAATAAATATATAAATGTTCATTTTATTTGTTAGCTGATGATTTGTCGACAAATCCGTCGGGAGAGGAAGTTTCTATAACTGGTGTTAATTCAATTTTACCCAAGGAGATTGGTAATAAATTTTACAGTCTCCAGATTTTGCAACATCTTGAGAAAGATGTATGCGCCGTTTCTTCTTGGGATTCATCTATTCATGACAGCGTGAATTTGAATAAGGTCACTGAGCGTGAGTTGGATTGCCTAATAATCTCGGGTATAATTTATTAATTACCTACTTGCAGCAAACGATCGTGTGTACTTGATTTTGAGAACAACGGTAAGGCTGTCGCATCCGGCACCTATGGATTTGGTGCTCAGGAAGCGTTTGGCTTTGAATATATACAAGAGACAAAGCATTACAGACAGAATTAAACGTAAAATTGTGCGATCAGATGTGATCACCCAATGCGGTGTAACTTACGAAGTTGTTTCTAATATACCTAAAGCTAGCGAAGAACTGGAGGATCGTGAATCTTTGGCGCAACTTGCTGCCTCTGGTGAAGATACTTTCTTCGTTGATGGAGAAACTTATATTGGTAAATACTTAAATTTGAAATATGCATCTTCTATTTGGTTATTGTAATTACAGAAAAGTACACTCGAGGAGTTAGTGCTGTGGAAAGTATCCTTTCTTTGGACCGATTGCGCCAAAGTGTCGCAGTTAAAGAACTTCTACAAGCCAATGGACAACCTTTAATGAGGAAAACGGCTTCAGTTCCAAACTTCTCACAGGTATGCTTTATATTAATATAAACTATATTATTTCTTACTAACATTTCACTCTTCAATGCTTACTAAAAAGGCTTTGGAGACGAAGAACGGGGTATGTTAACACTTTGCATAAAATCCTTAATTGTATTAATGCGTTCATTTTATTATTCCTACAGTTGATGAGATTGGATATGAGCACCGAATCGTTGAACATGTCGAGGTCGGAGAGCGTCAGCGATCTTAACAGCGAGTTTGGTTCTACTCCAAACCGGTCCAGAAGCTGCTTTGGAAAAGAGTCCGAGGTATCTCCATCGAAACCATTTGGACTTGGTAAGTTATTCATCCCAATTTCACTTAAGTTGATTTCATTTTTGGGTTAGAACTTATCTAGGCCTAGATCACTTTTAAATAGTTTCAAAATAATAGTTGGCAAATTTTATTGATCTTGCCAGATATAGTTAACTTGCAATGCCATAGCATAGTATGCTTTGGTTTATTTTTGTGACCAGTAATGTTTAGCCTCACAATTCCAAGCGTTCACTGCAATGGAATCAACAACAAATTATTTTATAAACGATAATTTAGGAAGCTGTTGCACTTTTATGCAGCACTACATATATATATATCTCCTTTTCTATTTTCAACTATCTTTCATTATCATTGCATTTGAAAGTTTCGCTAAACTCTTTTGCATTTTCTCGTTCCTCTTACTATCATTTTCTTTTTAGGAAGTCAACTATTACTTGAAAAAAATGAAACTTACTTTTGTTTTTATTTTTTTTGTTTCTTAGAGTCAATGTTGAAACATATGCTTGACTAATTTCCTTTTTTTGAACTTTTTTCTGCAACCCACAAGGCTCCATTCTGTCAGGTAAAACAATGGAGGCTTGCATACTAAGACTGCACTAGGTGGAAAAAACTTAACGTTCATTGACTGTTACTTGTGATAACTATAAGGGAATACGATTGACCGAATGCTTTAGTACTAAAAGAAATTTACCTCCAAATCGTACCAAACATAGATTTTGAGATTGGTTTTGTTTTCCGTTTCATCATGTCACTCATATATCTCAAAAGTATGTTCGTATCTCATAGAACAAAAACAACTTGGCCCATATTCATCTTGCTCATGTCGTTCAAAAATTGGTGTTGGAAAATTGTTTTTGTTCGAAACTGTAGTTCGTAGTATCATGTAGAAGAGGGGATGCTGAGTATACGCATGTTACGTATGATTTGCTCACCAAATTTGTCACCATCAACGATGTTCTACAAAGCCATCAAAACCGTCGATGGTCATCATCCATGTGATAACAAATATTGATGTAATAAAGTCACAGAGACTGTTGCGTATTAGAATAGTACATGCCTTGGAAAATTGGTTTGTAGTAAATGAAAAGAATTGATGTCGTTACTTAGTTCTTTATTTTCTTTTTTCTTTGGTTTGACTGTTACGAGAGTACAAGCATTGTGGCATGGTAGCTTCAAAGAGATCAAAAACTCGTACGAATCTGAGACAGGTCGGAATACCATAGAGTATAATATAATTGGCATTTATTTTGCATGTTCTGTTTAAATGTCAGTACGAAGCACTTAAGTCTCTTTGACTTTAGCGCAACCAATTCTTGTGTGCAAAACCCGATAATCATTCAACCTCTATACCAACATCAGGATTTGCCGAACCCAGTTAAGAAGCGCCTCATCCTTGGCACTTATAACTTTTCTTAAAATTGCAGCTCGGCCAACTTTCTTAAATCTCAACTTGAATTTGAATTCGCTTCGGTTGCAACAACCGTCTGGAGTGTCCAAATGTATGTCAAATATATATTTATATCGTTCGATGTATTTTTATTTTATTTTTTTGGGTTTATTTTCTTTTAATTTCTTAGAATAGTGGTGTACTTTTATTTTTTAATTATTTACTTTTATTAAATGTAGCAGATTTCGTTTTCTTTGGTTTTCTTACAACATATTAATATTCTAGTTTCGCCAGCTAATCCAAAAATGTTGTTCAAAATGACTACCTTGCACGAGGAACAAATGCCTATGGCAAGAAAACATTCCTTGGATTTGATCGTCGACGAGATAGAAAATGATAAATATAAAATGGAAGACGATATGAAATCAGACTTTTATGTAAGACCGAATATATTCAAGATAGATTAGGCATAAATTAATATGTTGCACTCCAGTCACAAGGTAAATCGCAGCATACCAAGAGGATGTCTACATCGAGAACTTTGGATTCCCTCGTGGAATTAGCTCCGAAGACAGGAACACCTTCAACAAATTCTAGTGGATATGGCTCACAGGCCGTCTCCTCCACAAACTTGTCCAGTGAAGACTCGATGTCTTTAAGAAGTATTAGTATAGATGAAACTCCAGATAAAGAGAAGCACCTGGAATTCAGAGAAAACACTAATGAACGAGTATTTTTTTCATGCACTCAATTTGATTATCAATAATCTATGCATATCTTTTCAGTTTCTTACAGATTACATGAAAGTGATGTACGAACCTAACAAGTCCGACTATGGCGACAATGATGCAATGATGAATGGTATTACTTCAACAGTGATTTCGCAGACGTTGGATAAAACCGAGCTGTCGGATTCACCATCCGAAGGTATTGTCAAAACCAATCTTTCGCCGGGCAAAGTTGTCCGCCGCAAGAAGAATTCCTCTAATTCCAAACCTCAAAACACCATCCACCAAAGAGCTTCGTTCCCACAAAGCCGTCCACATAATTCCGAAAGCAAAACCGCTCAAAACCTAGAACATAAACTTTTGACCCATGATGATGGCATCGACAGTTCAATGGATAGACTAGAAGGTAATCATATGTTATCCCTATCAAATTATGTTCATAAACAGTAGACCAATAACCTAGTAGTATTTACAATTTACTATCTTCATATTTTGTTTTTTATTGAAGAAGTTAATATCCTAATGGTTTGCTTTTTGTTTTTATCTAATTTTATTATGTAGTTTTACTAGAACTTTTTTGTCACTCTTGTTTTTAATGCACGCATATATTATTTCTGATGCATCTATCTAAATCTACCAACTTATCATTATTTTACAAGGTTTTGTTTTATCCAATATTTTTTCCATCCAAAGATCCTGTCTCGAATGCAATTTGAATTATTTTTTGCTTACTCCTATTTTAATCCTTATTCTTTATTGGTTTATCATTGTATATGTTGTTTTGCATTATTCTTGATGTATGTCCCAAATTTTGCTTTTTATAATCCTAAATAAATCTTTCTAATAATGCTACTATTTATGAGAAGCATGGATTGGGAGCTTTTTCTGTAACAATAACATTTTTAGACGAAAGTGATAATTATGGTTCCCGTCCCGATCTCAACAAACTAGCCGATGTCCCTGTGCCAGAATGGGTTGTGCTAGGTGAAAGCGTACTAATTCGTCCTTATAATTTTTCCGGAGTTGTCGCTTTTATGGGTGAAACGGAATTCTCTAGTGGAATCTGGATCGGCGTGGAACTGGATGCACCTAAAGGTATGTCAATTAGGTACCGTCTGAAGAAACCTGACTAAGCGTTATCGATTTAGGTAAAAATGATGGTACTGTGCAAGGCGTCAAGTATTTCTCTTGTCGCCCGAAGCACGGGATGTTCGTGAGGGCTGACAAACTAATCATGGATCGCAGAGGTCGCGCAATGCGTATCTACAAGGCAGAAGCACTTGCCAATTCCAATCACAGCAAATGCGCTTCAAGTAAAAGTAAGTGCACAACATCCCTAAAGCCATCCATCGAATTTAGTACAAAAAGGTTCTTCTTCCACAGGTGACACGATCCCACGTTCTAGATCCAGAGGCGATGGCCTCAACAACGTGGGAACTCGCCCGAGCCCAAAAGCAAAATAAATGCCCTCCCCAAAACCCCAAAAAAACGAAAAGGAAAATGACTTTTCACAAAAGAAAAGAAAACATTTAATGAATAAGGTTTAAAAAAAACTAGTCCCCTCCATGTAAAACCACCCTTTTTAAAAATCACTTTTGTATATTAGTTGTGCCGTCCATATAAGTTCTATATGAGACATAGGAAAAAAGTATTTAAAGAAATTGACTTGATTTTTTTTAATTATTCTTTTTTGTTTATTTTGCGATGAATGAAAAACAAAATAATAATAATTGAAGATTGAACATACAACAAAACAATAAAACGAGAATTCAAAAACAAAACTATAAAGAAAAACGTAAGAGAGAAAGAGTAAGGTTTGTAGTTGTTTCAACAAACAAAAACAAAAATATTTGGTGGTGTAAACACGTTGCATTTTTTCTCCGGCACATTCCAAGCTGTCATAACTACTGTTATTTTTATATAATCAATGCTACCTGATAACTGTCCAAGTATTAAAGAAAGAGAAGCTCTCCGAATTATTAATCCGCAGATAATTCCGTGCGAGACGCTTACTGTACCTTGCGCTAAACCTATTAACGAGATTATTAAAGGTTATTTGAAATATAATATATATATATACATATATGAGTATACAAGGTTTCCGTCGCAGTTAAAATAAATGTATTTAAAAAGGAATATGATAAAGATAACGTGATGATTCCGTTTGCTGTTGGTTTCGCTGGTATATATATATATAGTTTTGTTTTTTACACTTCTGATCAAAATAATCAAACCGTAACTGTGCTGGACACCCTGTATATATTTTCTGTGATAATTTAACTTTTTGGAACGTTTATTATTATTAATTTTTTTTTTGTACATTGTGTTAATTTTAAATTATTTTAAGTGTTAGTTATATACATACTATATATGAAAGTAACAATATGCTATGTACTATCTTTCTGGCTAAAGAATGAATGGGTCATATTTTTTTAATAGACTAGACACCAACCAGGTGAAACACATATACATATGTATATATACATATATAAATGAGTATATATGTGTATATATATATAATAAATAGCATAGCTTATGGTGATAAATAAATATTTATGTGTGTAGGTTAAAAATCACGTAGGTAAAAAAACATAACGATGATGATTTAGTGACTTTAGGGTTTAGGTTTCTCTTTCCTCGCTTTTAACGTGTATAAAGAAAAGAAGAAGAAAAAAAAAGGTATATATATCTAAGAAAACCTTCCCTCCCCCAACACTGTCCGCTCCTAAAACCCCGCCAGTGACGAAACTATCGCTTTTGCTAGATAATAATTACATTCCTTTACGTTTTGACTTAGTTTTTGAAATCTACATTATTTGGTGCTTCAAAGATTTTTTGAAAAAAAAAATTAAATAAATATATAAAATTAGACGGTATTTGTCTACTTAGAGAAACGCAATAATGTCTAGTCCAAACATCAACGTATTGCTCATTTCGCGAACTTTCATGGTTTTTGGCACAAAGTAAGAATCGTGCAAATTAACAAGAAAAAACACTGTCCTATAACTGTCCACAAATATATTAAAAAAAACAACAATCTCTGTCCAAAAGAATTCAATAATCAATGTAGTTCTAACCGTGTAAAAAAAATATTTAAAATTATATATATATATATACATATGATATCTGTTATCGATAAATATATATTGTATAGTATCACCTATTTTATGATTTCCAAAATCGAAGCACAACAAAAAACGATTGTGTTTGGAATCGTTTATTTTAATATATTTTGTTTTTGGAAATGTAAACTAAAATTGGCTTGTCGTGTTAAGAATTCGAAACGAAATTTGATTGAAAAACAAAAATAATAGATTGCACTTACCTGGTACTTATAAACCAATTATAATGTATAAAAAAAATATAACATCAAGAAATTTGAATCTGTGGTAATTGGCTAGAGATAAAAAAAAATAAACTGCATAATCCACGTGTACATTATTTCGTGTAAATAACTCTTTTGATCTTTCATTGCTTGCTCTTGTTCTCATCTATCCCCCTATCTATCGTAATGCGGTGTATAGTTCTTCGTTACATTTGCAAAAAAAAAATATATATTCGACACATCTCCTAGATTAGTTAGTTCCGTTTCCCAATTCGGTAGCCTGTTAACACTGCATGCAATTTTTAATAAACATTAGACGTTTACTGCTCCTCCTTCTCCAATTTCTATGTGTATTTTACATGTGCATTCAGCAAACCATTTGCGGTGGCATTTTGTTTCTGAAAGTTATTAGAATGTGGCAAAACGGAATTCTCTTCCGCGCTTTCGTTTCTGTTTCGAATAGCAATACTATGGAATTTTATGTATGTTCTGTAGGATGACCTAAAAAATATATATATACATGAATGAAAAAAAAATATATATAAATTGTATGATATTTCAATAATATAAGTATCATTGCATCAACTATTTGCTTTTATTTCCCTTTTTACCTTCCAAAGACTTTTCTGCGTTTAAAAAATTAATATTTATATTCTTCATGAAAGAAACAAAATAATTCAAAATATTTACATTAACAATTGATTGATTTTAAATGATTTATTGAATATACGAATATTTCATGGATTCTAACATTTTTTTCTTTTGTTTATCCATAGTTTATTCCAAGTAAATCTTACTTCTAATGATGTATTTGTAGTCAATAGTATATAAGTGTTTTAAGTAATAAAATATGAAATGATAATATTTAAAACTTACAAATGTTTTTTATTAAACCTTACCAAACATAGATACAACAAATTTTAGGAAAATCTGATGCTACAGAGGTTTGTATATTCACTTTCATCCTGGGAACCTCACTTTAATTCATTTATTTAATTTTTATATATTAGGATAGGTATATATATATACAAAGTGAAATCTATGTAAATATATATGGAATACAAAAAAAATACTTCGTTGAGAATTTTTAATAAGATTTTGTGATTGTCCACTGTGTACTTTTAGAAGTATTTTGTTCTTTAACATTAATCATTGCTTTTGAATTAGGTTTTACATTTTCTTTATCCTAAGTATTATATACAATATCTAAATTATCTGCAGTTAACTTCTTTATTAAGCGTATTTTAAAAATATATAAAAAAAAGTTTAAAAACTTTGAATGGCGTAACAATCTTAATCTCGATCTATTCAAGAAGAATTAACAAATCTGCAAATATTGATAGATATTAAAGTTGAATTGTAGCTTTCTTTAATAAATTTAAAAAAAAATACAATAATTTCATATAAAAAAGAAACTATTTTAATTCTGTAAGGGCTAATTTTAGAGGAACTTATTTTACAGGAAAATAAATATGTAGAAAGTGGAGCGAAAATCAGTATTGAACTTAATAGCGGCTAATAAAAAGAACATTAATTATTTTCCGGACGTGAAAAGTAAAATGGCGTTCAGTTCAGGATTTCCATGAAATCCACATGCATGTAATAAAATCCATTAGAAATAGACTTTATAGCTGTCATTAAACTTTAAGACTTTGTTGATCAAATATGTCTGATCATAACGCGACCCCATAAAAGTCATTTTTGTTATGAAATAAATGACTCTAGGATATTTCAGCTTCAGCGAGAAAACAAATTAAATTTAGCGCCTTTTCAGCGCGCCTAACGCAACATTGTGTAATAGTATAAACAAGATTCAAATTTCTTTGGCTTATTCGACCAAACCGAGTAAAAAGTTATTAAGTTTTATTAGAAAATTAATTTTGAATTCGTAAATGCATGGATCTGCAACTGCGACTCAAATATTTGTTGTTTTTTTGCACTTTTCTTTTCGAACCCCGGTAATTTGTCGTTCGAAGCTCCATCTGGGCTATCTGTGCAGGGCGATCGATATCAAGGGTGGTTACCCCATTCGTGCAGTAAGCTTGTGATCGAAAGGTACGCAATTTATACAACTCATCGTCGTCCCAATAAAACACGTACAAGCTTTTCCATCTGTAACTACTCCTAATCCCTACAGGATTAGGATAGTGATCTATCTGACCAGTGATTTAGTGCTACAAGAAGGTCCATAGGAGGTATGGACAATATATTGTACTTTTTTTCGCTCTATTCTGCTTACGTGATCGCGTTTGGGAGATGCATCCAGATTTAATAAATCTGGTTAACAGCAATTACCCCAAATATTTTAGTTTTGTAGGATTTTGATGATTATGATTTTTTTTTTATTAGAATAGTCGAAAATTACAATAATTATTTAAAAGACGTTTAACTTTAATTATTGTTATAGGAATATATTCTAGTTCGATTATGTAAGTAGGTGTCGCAAAGATGGATGAAAAGAACGCTGGTACGAGAGGGTTCAAGGGCTTGATAATGGTAATAACACGTAACGCTTAGGTGTAGGTCAGGTCCTTGAATGCATTTCCCAAATTTATTAATCGATGCATGTCTATTGCTTCTTGATTTAATACAGTTATTTTTCTTTATGAATGGATGATTAATTAATAATTGCAATAGATCCAAATTCACCATATACAAGCTCTATAATCTACATTGATGTTTACAGAAATGTCTGGAGATCAAGACGAAGGATAAGATCCTGTTCAACCATTCCATCTGGATGAATGTGTACAAGCTGCACATTGCCATCTTGGGCTTCAAGTAGATCACCGGATCAGGTTGTGCGGGTAAGTTTCTTGATGAAAATTGATGCAATTACGAGGGTGACCTTCCGGAGGATATTACGCTGCTTCCGATCATATAATGAATTCGTCCAAAAATGGACGAATCGTAGTCCGGGCACAGCATTCCTAGGCGGATCGATATCTCGTGCAACAATGCATAAAAGATGACAGCTACCGGAAAACGCATTCATATGCATTCCGATATTGGACCTAAAGAACGTAATAATCAATCGCGTTGTTGCGCACTTTATCAGCAGCATCAGAGCTGGTGCGTCAACAAGTTCTCACCGCTCCCTCGAGCCACAATAAAATCTCATTTGATTAGCAATATTTATAAGTGCTCAAACAATAGTCACATCGTCATTCATGTTTGATATAGTTGTTTTACAACTATAGTTAAGCAATACAGTTCGCGTGCGTACTTGGATAGGTGAGCAGTATTTTGTTTGTTGTGTGACTTATACCAATTAGCAACATTTGGAATCGAAAATCAATTTTGTCAATACCAAATGCGAATTTTATTAGGGTGGTTCATTTTATTGCAAGGATGATTTTCATTCATTTTAGACATATCAATTTGGAAAACTTTTAGTAATTTGTTTATTAAATTTTATGATAATTAACTGAAGCCATAATCAAACTTTTTAGGAAATATTTTATTGATATTTCGACATATACTTGATATGTTGTTGTCTACTCTGTACAAATTTAATGACAAACCATGTACATATAAATAGAAAATCTATACTACCTATTTAATTAATTCACGTGGCATGACAATACATCGGTTTAAAATCAATACTGTAATTCTGTAATACTATTTAATTAATTGTTAATTATATTTTCAAATAAAATTAGTATACTACCATAATTATATGAAGCAATCACTTTTTTATATGAAAACTTAAGCAACGTTTATTCCGGAATATTTATTGTAACAGTAAAAACATATTTTTTTTATTCACATCAATAATAAAATAAAAAATATTATTGAACTTGTGAACTGTGTTATTATATTTATCTCGTTTGTTTATTTATGTTTATAGATGTGTTATTATATAAAATAATTAATGACAGCCAAGGAGATGCAAGCAAGAATGACATCAAAGATAAAGAGATTGGATCGAGGTGGAGGAGGAAGAGGTCTAGCAGGTGGTGGAGACAGCAGAGGCAAAGATGGAGGAGTGAAGACGGATCCCGCGGACCGAATCGTGCAGTTCCTGATGTTCAAGGTGCTCCAGGAATGGTTCGTCAGCACATCAAAATAACGTAACGCACCCAGGTGGCAATGTTCCAAACGTAACTTTAAGGATAAGTACGAAATATGTTTAGATTTAGTAACACTCGTTCAAAACAGTAATGATGTATACCTTAATCGTTCTGGGCTGCGGGTAGCTCTCACATTGTTCACTACTGGTATATTTGCGATCGAACCCGCAGTTGGATATCAGGAGCGCTGGGCATAACCAGAACCAAAACGCCCAGGGTCGTTTTCGCGTCAGAAATTCATTTGTTTAGAAGATAACGTATTCTCTGTTCGTTGCATGCCTCACATTGTGTACAGTGTTTTAATAGTCTCATCATCGTTAACACTACAAAATGTTGTATATATGTGTTGTTCGTTATGTGTTACTTAACAGTTTTACATTTGTTTAGAAACTCTTATTTGAAAAGGGCGCTACCGAATAGCCTTAACGGAAAAGGTATCATGGTTTTACCATTTACCATTTTTCGATATAATTTAAAGTGTTTAAACTAATAATCGCGGAAAATTACAAAAGTAGTTTATCATAAGGGAAATGATTTTCCTTGCAAAATACAGATATAGCTTTAAGCGGTGTAATATTAATTGCTTCGAATATGGCCTAATTAATTTAATACATTATTACGTATATAAATATATATATGAACATATATATTTAAATATATACTAGAATCATATCCTGTAAACAATAGTAGAGATTACACATATACTTCACACATGGCAACCCATGCTGTAAGATATTGTAATCAGAGTTCGAATTTATCTATAGTAACTAAGTAACAATAACACTTAACCTAAGTTTAGATTAAGTACTTTAATGAAGTCACTAACATAGATGCTGATGAACGCAAACCTTGTATTACTGATGAATAAGCTATGCACTTCTAAGACTTACGATTTCGTTTCCGAGTTACGAACATCGCTTGTTTATCAATATGGTTCATGCTTGTTCATTAGCTATCTCTGTGTTCGCATGCTATACTAGTAGCTTCTATTATTATCAAAAGTTACAATTTGGTAACGTAAAACTTAAAAAAAAAACAATAGTTATATAAGTGTAAGAATATTTTTCGTTGTACTGTCGGTTCTCGTTGGACAAGCAGCTTGGCATGGATCTGGACAGTCTATTTAGTTTCTTTATACATTATTTATATTCGAATTGCGTCGCAATCAGAGTCAAATTTCGTTTCGAAATGAATTGGAACCAGAAATGGTCTACTTTTGAAATGTACCTGGTGGGATAGATCAGTATGTCTTCGGTACACCAGGTATATCCACTCTAATCTATGATGTTCGTAGATGTATTGGACGATATATAAAGTCAGTACATTCGCTTACTTTTTTTTTAATTCACGCTAAGTACTATTACATATTTATTGGAAAAAAATATATAGATCATAGTAAAGTTTTTGTTTCCATACCAAAAAGTTAATATTTTGGAAATAACAATAACAAACAATAATGCTTATATTGAAATTAAAATATTTTTTAATATGCTAAATAAACTATAGACTCAACATGGTATTCAAAATTGGTATTTCCACTTTCAAGACAACTCTAAAGTATATTGGATACATTTAGTATTATACAACTATCTTTAAAATGAGAACGTTAGAATTATGAAAGAGGCAAGGTATTTCCAAAGTGTCGTTATAATTCTATTTGTACAGATATTAATTAATTAACAATGGCAAAGATAATAATTAATGTTCATGTTCTTTGTATAAGCAAATAAAAAAAATGTCATTAATGTTTGTTTTAAGGCTAAGGTGGAGATGGTAATACAAGGTCTTAAAATATAAAAAAAATAAGGTCCGGTATTTACATCTTTGCTTTAGCCTAAAAGTGGACGTTATGATGTGATTTTCTACGGAAATATATGACAGAACATAGCGTTAAAATATCGAAAACAACGTATTCAACGTATATGTATATTCACGTAGAGATTGACCGGTTAATGTTTGCTTTAAGGCTAATGTGGAGATGGTAATACAGGAACTTAAGGGTGTACACATATAAGATCCGGTATTTACATCTTTGCTTTAGCCTAAAAGTGGACGTTATGTTGTGGATTTCTATGGGAACATATGACAGAACATAGCGTTAAAATACCAAAACCAACATATAATCATGTGGAAATTGACAGTTTAATGTTTGCTTTAAGTCTAATGTGGAGATGGTAATACAGGAACTTAAGGGTGTAAACTTATAAGATCCGGTATTTACATCTTTGCTTTAGCCTAAAAATGAACGTTATGTTGTGGATTTCTACGGGAATATATAACAGAACATACCGTACCAAAACCAACATATAATCATGTGGAAATTGACAGGTTAATGTTTGCTTTAAGGCTAATGTGGAGATGGTAATACAGGAACNNNNAAAAGTAAGCTTCTGTATTTACATCTTTGCCTTAGCCATAAAGTGGACGTTATGTTGTGAACTTCTATGGGAACATATGAACTGACATGACGTTAATATTACCATACTGAAACAGACTAATCATATAGAATTTGACAAGATTATTGTTTACTTTGAGGCTAAGTTGAAGATGGTAATACAGGATCTTATAGTATATATAAAAAAAAATAAGTTCCAGTATTTACATCTTTGCTTTAGGCTAAAAGTGGACGTTATGTTGTGATTTTCTATGGGAACATATGAACTGACATGACGTTAATTTTAAATATCGTAGAAGTTGACATATTAATGTTTTCTTTGAGGCTAAGGTGGAGATGGTAATATGGAATCTTAGAGTAAACTTAAAAAAAAACTTTAAGGTCCGATATTTACATCTTTGCTTTAGCCTAAAAGTGGACGTTATGTTGTGAACTTCTATGGGAACATATGAACTGACATACCGTTAAACTTGACTTAAACACAATATTTGTATAGAAATTTACATATTAACGTATATTTTAAGGCTAATGCGAAGATGGCAATACCAGATCTTAGAGTAAAAAAAAACTAAGCTCCAGTATTTACATCTTTACTTTAGCCTAAAAAGTGGACGTTATATTGTTAACTTTTATGGAAATTGATCACCTGACATAACGTTGAATTACCGAACATATTTATATAGAAGTTGAACTTATATATAAATTTATGTACCACCGAAAGCCTTAATTTGGGAATATCGATATAAGCTGAAAAGTATTAATATTTTCAAAAACTTATGGCAACTATTAAACTTTACCATTTGTAAAATACATTTTATAGCGTAAAATAAATGTTCAACCTTTGTTACTGCATCTTTGGTAATGTTTGAATTATGTACTTGCTGCTAACATCTACACTGGATAACGTAATTCAGATATTAACATATGATTAGCAACAAAGTAACATCCATTTATTTTACTCGCTATTGTGTGTATTTGCAAAAGTAGCTCAAAAAATGCTGCACCTAACGTTGATTGATCTTCACCTGTTTTTAATATTTGCTGAAAAGCTAAAGTGGGGACGACGACGCAGGTTCTTAGACTTATATAATCACTGAGAACCTGTATTCGACTAATGCTTTAATACTAAGGTGAATGTTAAGCAGCGAACTTCAATGAACGTATTTTAAAAAAGCATAGCTGGAGCTGAACAATAACGATTTACCACCTTGACAATATTCGTTATCATTGCAAAAAAAATGTATAAAGTAAAATAAAATAAACAATTAGAACTCTTTTCCAAATCCGCATTGTCATCTGAGTTATGTATTTGTTGAAACAACATCTTCACAACTTTACGGGAAAAAACATAATTCAGATGCTAAAGTGACAAATTGGTTATTGAGTTACAGTGAAGATATTTTATTTAATTTTATACGATACGCATGTAACGAGTTCATAGAATTTAAGCAGATCATAATATTCGCTTTAATGCTAAAGTATTTACATGTTTACATTAGCGAGAAAGTGAATGTTATTTTCTGAAATTCTCTAGGTATTTGTGTAAAGTTAATGTTAAATTGAAAATACTGGGATTAAATCTTAGCGTTAAATAAGAGTATTTCAATTTGTATTAACACGAGTTTTTGTTCGCAAGAATTTACTAGTCATTGTTCCTTTAACACCAAAGCGGAGATGGTGTTGAAAATACCCGGTATTTACATCATCACTTTAGTTGTAACATGAACATTATACTTTGTATTTCTAAAAGCGATACTTAAACCATCCTGACAAAACAATATCTTATACCGATGTTATAACAAAATTTTGTTTTTTATTTAAACTTAAGTTATAAGTATATTATTTAACGGAACTTTGTTGTACTTTTCTGCATTTGAGAAACCTGGAGCTAACAACCAACAAATTTATTTTGGTTCTCGTACATTCAAATTATTGTATGCTGATTCAAATTTTATATTTGCCTTTGTTGTCCACTCGCATTTTCATCAAGAAAAAATATAGCAATTTCATTAATATCAGTAATCTCGTTTCTCTTTTTTTCTAAAAGCTATTATCAACTCAGCTAACAGTAGAAATGGGATTCAAATACATTCATTTAAATAATTATTTCTTCACCTTTCATCAATTTCAATTATTTCTTTTATGTTTTTGTAAAATGTAACGATACACCTTTCCTAATTAACATTTCATTTATTTATGTTCCATCAAACATATTTAATCGTTTTTTTGAAACTGTAAAATTTTTCTTCGAGATAATTATGCGTTTAACTGCAAAATAAATCATTTTTGAATCAGCATAGAGAAATTGAATAATATTTGCAAGAACCAAAGTGTTTTATGAACCATGAGCTTAATAGTTTCTGGAGATTGACCAAAGAGGAAAAGATCTATGCAACAAGGTTTCATGTAATTTTAATGCTCAATTTAGAATTCCACGGATGATTTTCATTGATCTACCTTAGGTTCTATTATTTAATTTTCAACGAAATTCGCTTTGCATCGGTATATTAATTACTGGTGTTCTAAGAATTAACAAAATTTTATTCTATTGATGACTAAAGAAGAGATGGTAATGCAATGTCTTGTGATATATATGAGACGTGGTATTTACATCTTTGCTTTAAACTGAAAGTAGTGCCGTGTTATCCATTGCAAAAAGAGGATACCAAACCAATCCTTTTTTGCAGTCCTGAATACAAAGGGGATGTTGATTTGTTGACCACAATTTCAAATTTACCTGAGGTTTCATGAAGCCATAGCACGTTACTCGCATAAACGTATTAAAGTTTAGTGAAATTATAAAAGAAACACCTGAACTATAATAGCGCTAAGATGGAAATACCGCAACTTTTTATACTGATTTCTGTATTATAAATTATTTAACGGTCACTTTAAACATTACTATTATTTAAATACATCTGCCTTAAAGTATTTCCATTCGTGTGTCTATTGTTAGCTTAAGTGCTTCAAACCTCTAGAAATTCAAAAGCTAAAGTTCGCTTTAAGGTTAACGCGTAGTTGGTAATACCCAGTCTTAGAGTAAGTATATGTAAAATCACTAAGACTTTGTATTTACATCTTATCTTTAGCCTTGAAGTAAACATACGCTATGATTTCTATAGCAACCTATAAACTCACTTAATAATATTATCTTTAGTGCATTGATCACCGAAGCTAAGTTATTACTAAGCACACGTCAAAGTGCGTAAGATTACTTTGTCGTGTTTATACGAGTTGATGACATAAACCTTGACTTAACTCTTCAATCCTCGAAGAATGTCCATCGTCCTGTAACGCATTTGGACAAAGTGTAATACAAACATTTTGTCGTGCGTTATTCTCTAACTAATCTATGAGCGTTTTATAACTTCCATTACGCTAATTACTAAGGCCTGTAACATCGTAAAAGGTCCATTCTGTAACTTATAAAATTATAGAACTTATAAGATTATTACTAATTGTTTGGTGTAATTAAACTTATTGTGCATTTGTATTGCAAAATTTCTATAATTATCCTTCTGCTGAAGCTGTGGCTAAGGAGGAGATGATAATAGCTTGACTTAGAACTAAAAAAAAAAAAATAAACTAAGTCCGTTATTTACATATCTACTTTAGAAGTGGAAGCTACGTTAGGAATATTTATAGAAGTTTCTGTTTTCTGTGAAATAAATTGATTATACTGATCTTTAGTGAATTACGACAAATACTTGGAATTACCCAGCCTTGACGATCTAAGGCCTTACATATAAGTGAAAATGATGTTAACAAAAACATTTTTTTCACTTTTATTAAGTAGTAACGTTTGTATCTAGAAGCTTAACACCTTAAAGAAAGCTTTCTTTCAACACTAACAATGGATTTAAATAGAAACACCATTGGATATCCAAAATAATACACTCTGTTGAGAGTGCGTATGGAAACGCTTTGAATGTGTTTGCATGTATTTCTATATACGACAAAATGATGTTTAGTGGCAATAAGATCAATTTGTCGTGAATGATATAACACGTAGTAAGAATTCGTAGCACTTCTATAGACATTCCCTAAACATTAATCTCACATGTTTTGCACTGCCTCACCAGATTTTCATTCTTATGTAATATGAGTTGAAATGATGATCAACTCGACGATACCAGCATTTTGATTTATGTTACGTAATATGTGGCGGGACGATGCAATACCGGGACAAAGTGAACAGAGAACTTCTCGATTCGTTGATCTTGCAATAATAACATCTTATTTGGATATCCAAGCCATTTGAATAGAGATGCTTTCCGATTCACAATTCCATTGGAATTCATAAAATAACGTTCACTTCAGCGTTGCCGCGAATTTGGAAACACCTGTGGACCTCTAACGCCTGAGAAGGTCCGTCCTTACGTAAAACATGATACGCCATAGAAACTAATTGAGATAAAACGCTAATCGCAATGAAAATGTCAGTTATATTAATTACTAGTAAAAAAATATGATTGTACGTCCAGCAATTTGATGAGTGTTGTATGTGGCATTTTCGTTCACAATTTTCTGCGTTTCTGACGTATGAAAATTTGGGTGTTACGATTATTTTCCGTAGCTTTTCATTGCTTTTCCCCGTGAGGATTAATCGCGATGACGCAAAAAAAAACACACACCTTGTATAACATATATGCAAATCATAAAAGGTGTACGTATCACATCATTTTGAAGTGCATTATATGATATACAAGCCAGACGCAATATTTATCATTATCGTACAGTGCCTACAATTTATACCGAAATAATACCGAAATTTTGATCTATAGGTTAATTAGTATCTTTTGATTCTCAGAACTTACAAGAAACATCTTGATTTTGGTTATGGTTTGAAGTGAGTTTCTCGTATGTTCTATATTGAATTGAATTATGTTATTGTTTTTGTCGTGCACGCGTGTATTTTTTTTAGATGAAAATTACCTTTAACCTTTACATTTGACTAGGTCCGTTTCTTAGTGTCACGGCTCGAAACATCCACCTTCTTCTACCATCTGTCAAGACACTCGAGGAACGAAACTAAAATTAATTTTTGAAAAACTTTATTTCATCATGTCCCATAAGCATACTTTATCCTAATTTAGGTAAATATTATCGTGACATTTGACTTAATCATGGCTACGTTAACTTTATTTGAAACTGCACCAAACATAAACCATCTCGTTATAAACATTTTGTTGGAATTGGGTAATTTTTTGATTAATCTATACGTGATAATCCCAGAAGACATAATTTGATTTAGTATAAACAGCTACACTGACCGCCTTAACCAGAATGTTACATGAAAAAGCTCTTAAAGATTGAGCAAAGACTGGAAAAGCAACATAATTCAATATACTCGTAAAAATTAATATTCTATTTATAATTTCAATTGTTATTAGTAGTTTTTTAAATGAATTTTAATCAAAATTTCCACTTATCTCGTATAAGTTCTAACAAATCTATCTCATTAAGGTAACATATGCTAGGATAAATGTGTAATTGTGTTTGGTTCAACTTTTTTTTCTTAGCACATAAGCAATTAATTAAGTATAGATTTAAGCACTAATTAAGCTAAGTAAGGAGTTATGATGAGTTTACAAGTATCGTTAAATTTATGATTTCAATTTTATTTGTTGACTTAAAATTTGCTCATCATGGAAGTTCGTGTTTTGTTTAGGTGTTTCAATGGATTTTCGAACGACGTGCGCTTTTTTATCTTGGGCAAGTTTTGAGACAACTGTAAACTTTCACAAATTTCAGTTACTTACAATAAGTGTATTCAATTTCTAATCTCGAAACGCGCAAACGTATTTGCACAAATCTTCGCAAACATTTGTACAAACACGATTCGCTCAAGCGAGATTAATTTCTTTAAGTTCAATACTTTTACCCTCTATGTTTCTCTTTAATACATTTTTTTAAATATTTTACTGAGTGCTCGCTTTAAATAGATTATAAGTACATATAAATATGCAACAGTTACTCACAAACAACAGACAGTGTAGACTGCTTAGTGACCTAAATGGATGAATTTTTGGTTGTTTTTATCGTGTTTTAAGTACACTCCGGGATTCGACAGAATAACAAAAAAAAAATCAAAAAAAATTATCCCCTATAAATATAAAAATTTACATTTTTCTAATTTTAATAATTATAGGAGTCAATTACGCTTAGATAAAGTCATAACAAATTACAAAATTGGATTTTCAATATCCAAAAAAATTGAAGGAATAAAATATATTGAAACATATCCAAAATTTGATGACTGGTTATTCTGTCAATACAAATGTAAAATAGTTGTGATTCAGGTATTAAAGAATCCTTACAGCTCAGTATTTTCATATTCTTATTAGCATTAAAATGAACGGTTGTTTATCATTATAATTATACCTCTTAAATAGGATCAAATCCCTGGGTGATCTAAGCTTAATTCTACACTGACGAGCGATTAAAGGTATATAATTCTTCCAAAGGAAGAATCATAAACTTCTAAGTGCTATATACTTTTTTTCTAGAGAATCTTACTATTAGGTTCACGGTTACCTTACTTTTGTAGTTCATACATGGTTTAGGTCAATGGTCGGCAACAAGGTTGTTTAAGAAAATGTTCATTTACGAACTTGGTAATAGATGAAAATAACAGCACAACCTTAAAAAAATAAATAAACAAAAAAAAATAGTAATTAAATAAACTTGCAGTAATTCTTGATATCCGTTTTGTGAGTCTTTTAGGTCTTTCTTTCAAAGAAAGTATAGTTTTTTTTTTCTCTAACTAAAGCGCACAATATAACAGACAATAGTCTTCACTTGGAATATCCAAAAAAAACAACCAACGGAATTTATAAAACATCGAATGCATTCTGGCTTCTCTAAATAATACTCGATTTCTAAACACCTTCATCTTGAAACTATCTGCTAAGTTAAGATCCAGTATTTCCATCGAGGCCTCAATACTAAGTATAAAACGCCACTTTGTTGAAGCTGTAGATGGAAATACTGACCATCTCAATTAAACCAGAAATCTTACCGTGCTATGGGCATAATTAAAAATAATTTCCTTGGTACAAAATAATAATTTTCTCGATGTGATAGAATGCAGTGATATTTGATTTTGGATTACCTTAATTTAGACGATCGTGCGGAACAGAGGCATCACTACAGAAAATCCACCTCGGCCTGTCTGTCTCATTTGTAGAATACTGAAAAGACAAAAAAATACGAAAAAGAGGTTTTCTTTTTTTTACGGTTTATTTTATCGTTACCCCGTTTATACTTCGGTATAAACGTAACAAAATATGGGAGAAACTTTTAAATGTATCTAATTAGTTAAGGCAAACGTCAAACGTAAAACACGTGGAACGGTAATTTAATGATAATGAGCAAACTGTATTTTTGGAAAATAATTTTGTAAATAGTATTCACCCTCTATTTAAACAAAAAATTATAAATATATATATATATATATTAACGATATTTAAATTATGTGTGTATAGAAGAAGGCTATTTTATAAGCATATACTATTAAATATACATAAATTGATTGTGATTTAATTTCTAAAAAGAACAAAATTATCAAATATTTTATGAAATTTTTATAAGTTTTTTTTTGTGTGTGCATGTGTATATTTTAGATCAGAGATTCTATTTACATTATATGAAGCCTTTTGTTTCAAATGGCATGTTTCGAGTGATTCGTTGAGGTTGGAGAAGTCTGAGATTTGTTGTAACACTCGGAGGATGTTAATTACGTTGTTCGAAGGGTGCAATTTGAGGCAAGGGTTTCTTGATTTTTGGCACAAATCGGAACAACATTTTCATTGCTTTGTGATAATTTTCTTTTTTAAGGAAATATATATGTATATTAGTATTTAGTGGGCAAACAGTGTTCGAAGATAAACGTGTTTGTAGTTTAACTAAACAATGATCTGATAAAAAGTAGTACCCTACACAATAGTTTGTTAATTAATATATTAAACATGATAACAATTAATACTTATAACATTAATAAGAATAATAAACATAATTATAATGATGTCGCATGAATATGAACCAACAAATGGAAACTATATGTACTCTCTGTATTTTCATATATATATATATATATTATATTATACTATTCAGGAAGACTTAAATACTTATAGCTTATATAGTGTATTCTTATAGCTTTACTTCCCGTTGATTTCTGTGATTGCAATGAAGTTTTCGTTTTTTTGGCTGAAAAAAGTAATATAAATTATCTAAACGTCTTGACCAATTTTCAAATTCAACAAAACAAATGATGTTAATGTACTATTTTCGAAACCACTTTCTCGAGGGAAACTTAATTGTCAAATGACTCATGTGACACGAGTAATTTAGAATAATAACTGTCATATAATAATAATAATAATTGGTGTCTTTTATTTTACCCAAATCTCTGAATTTCCCTATCATCATCCCCAATATTTCCATTTTGATCACAACAAAACAATTGTTGATCTTATACGAAAATGTTTCTGTAATTTGGAACATCAATCACAGATTTTGTGTCATTAAAGATAAATTCAGAATTTCAATTATGTAATATTTGCTTTGATGATCATGTTAGTATTCCTGTATATATTATTTGGAATAGGATGCTGACCATATTCTTATGCTTTTTTTAATACAACTAAAAAGTTGAACACTTTATTTATTATTTCTTAATTATATTTTATCTTAGGAAATAAACTCAATTACATATGTGATTTATGTTAAGAAAACACCAAAGCCCATTACTAGAAATAGAAAATAAAGAAGTTATTATCCTTGTTAATATATTCAGGATAATAACTAATCGAGACTTGTTAGTTAAGTCTATAATATAGAAAGTTAAAAGTTGTGTCTTATTTCAACTTTGTGTCTTCAATAGTTTCAAAGTGAAAATCCTTATGTTTACTTCTCTGAGATATTTTGTAGTTTTTACATGGTTTCTACAAAGTATATTCTGTAGTTGCTGTAGTTACTTGACATTTTCTAACTCTAGCATTACTAATATTGTTCATGTTCCTTTTGTTCAATAAAAGTAAAGTGGAAGTTGTCTTAATAAGAAGAAACCTTTTTCTGGTTATAAATGAATACTTCACTCCACTACAGTTAAATTAATTTGTCAGAGATAGGTTTCGACAAGGACAATTAATACTATGTAAATGAAGGGAAAACAAATCAAAATCAAGGCATAAACTTATTTTATTTTTACTAAACTTTATAAATAATTTTAAATAATTATTCTGCATAAAAAATTGAAAACTTAGAAAAGAACTTATAATTTAATAAAATACTACTCTTTGCTTTTTAAAGAAGCGATGGTAAACAATAAGACAGACAATGTTAACAATCATTATCAAACTTAATATAGAAAACACTGTAAAAATCAAGTCAATGTAATAAAAATTCATGTTAAATACATAGTAGCCAGTCAAATAAAAGATGTGCCCACAAAAAGCCGAATGAATCCAGGAGTTCTCAAATTTATTAAAAATCTCAATGTAACTTTTGTTGAAGTAAAACAGTGCAAAAGTGACAGTTGATATCATAAAAGACTTCAGCATGTATTCGGATGGTAAATACACTTGGGCTGTCATGGTCATCATCAATACGATTATGAATGCGAAAATCCTTTGACTCTTGCAAAATACTATTAAGTCATATACGTTCAGGATTACCGCAATCCAAAATATAATGAATGAGGTGTTCACTTTCATTATATCGCCTACGTAAGGGATTCTGAACTAAAACACACAAATCAAACAATTCAGTAAGTTGAAAATTTTATAGAGACATTGAGTTACCATCTTGTACTTTCTTCTGAAACCACGATTCTTCAGATACCTCAGGGATTCAATGGCATCCATTTAGAAATGCGCCAAATAAAAATGAACTTAATCGTTAGAGAACTGTACCTCAACTGAGGTCGCAAAAACCGTTACATTCACTTATTTTCTTTCAGCCAATCTAAAACGTCTGCAGTGTTTCGATGTTGGCAACATGTGAAATAAAAGTTTATTAGTTCCAATTCTCACCACAGATATTTCAAAATAATAATTGTATAAATTGAAAATAAACTTACGCAGCTGGAAATAAATGTATTTCATATATAAATAAATATATTTCATTACTTACTAAACATGTATGTTCACAATAATATGCAAGTTACATAGAATATGTCCAATAAATGTATATTCAATTATTTTGTCCGTTGAAATATTTCAAATTTTGTTTTAACTTGTTTTAAGTTCGACCAATAGGATTTCCTTTCTATTCTATTAGTGAACATCATTTTCGCAGCCGTTTGTGCGATCAAAAGTAACGTAAACTTGTATAAGTATATATATTCCATATCTCGACAAGATGTTATTATTACTGCAAAAGTTGTTATATATTTTATGGTAAATATAATATTGTTCTTTAACTATAAATTAAAGTTTCTTGTTTGTAGGCAGACTGTCCCGCTCAAAGTAATTTTGATAATAGCCACAGCCATTATACTCATGTTGTTCGCAGTCGAGGCTGTTGTACTTACGGCAGCATTTAGCTATATCTTTTTCATCTATTTGGTAGTCACTTATGGTGATTCTTATCTACTGTGTTTTCTCTTGGTATTAAACATTTCGACGGCCTGTGTGATGCTTCAAGATATACGCACTTCAGCAACTTGGTTTTTTTTCTTTTCAATCACATTTTACCTCTTCCATGCAAGCTCATTTCTGATGGAAGATGGAAATGAATTAATTAATATACTCGTCCTGTTGATTCTTATTCTGATAAGCAATATTGTTATTGAGATGTACGTCTTAAACAAACTACATTTTTTTGCGATTATTGGAGGATTATCTGCTGCCACGGCATTCGTAGCCCATGAGAGAAGATATAAACTTCTGTTTGCAAACCAGACAGTACCACAAGCTAATTAAATATGTGTAAAATAGAAATATATGTTATTCTAATTAAATAAATATTTTGGACATTATTGAACTTGTATTTCTTATAACCCAATATAATCTTTAAACCACCAAATAGCGCAGCTTAGAGTTATGTCCTGTAAATAATCATTTTGTTGTATATATATTGCGGTATAGTTTATGCAGCTCCTTTATTTATCGTCAAATTTCCAGATAGCTCCGGCCCTGGTTGTAAGTATACAAGCATATCTGTAAGTATTCAATCATAGCTGTAAGTATACAAACATAGCTGTAAATATACAAGCTAGCTGTAGGTATACAGGATAGCTGTAAGTATATAAGTTAGCTGTAAGCATACAAGAATCCAGTATGCTAACTTATATTCATCTCATTAATGTGCAAATATTGAACAAATTGATTGCTTTCTTGTTTATTGGTATCATGGATAAAATGACCATCTATTAAAATTCACTTTACAATTTAAGAACTGGAAGTTCTGATCTTAAAAGCTTTCAACAGAAATTTCTGAATTCACCTGATGATTAGTGCAACTCAATTGACTTCCTTGTATGTGTCCTTACAAGTTGAATTGCAATTTTTAAAGCGTCACGACTGTATTTCAATTATACTATTTCTATTTCAATGATAGAAATGAAGAGGTAAATGAAATAAAGGAATTAAGTGCCAAAACAAAATTGTATTTGTATAATCCATTCCAGATTAACATTTTTAAAGAAGATAAAAAATAAGTTGTAAAGTAAAAACAAATAAAATTAAGTACTTAGGACTTAACAAATACAGATATAAAAGCCTCATGTTGTAATAAAACAATAAAATTCGCTACCAAAAACTCATACTTTTATTTTCAGTTACTGGTTCTAAATTCTATTTGTGATATTACAACACAACCAATATATACAGAAAACTGCAGAAGTTCTAAGGCAATTAATGAATATAAGAATTACATAGTGCAATCTATATACATAATAAATGTAGAATTAATGTAAAGTATACACCGAGAATGACTGACAAAAAAATATTAATTGTAACATCAAGATAGCAAACCTATAGATTGCTAATAATGATAAGCAATACACATGTTTCCTTTTAATTAATTATCAACTTCTGTCATAGCACTAATATCTAAATCAATGAAACAAAACAATAATGAATCGATTTACACGATATAATTGGATATTCAAATTAAATAAATACAAGCACTAAAAAGTGGACCCATTTACCAGCATCATGAACATTCAAGAGTACCCGGTCCAAACAGGAAATGAATTGTGTAATCAATCCGAAAATAAGAAATTATATATAATAAAAAGAATAAATCATAAAACGAATTAATAATCGATGAATTAAGTTTGTATGATACAAAACTAAATTGTTCACTTCTTAAAATTAATAGAGTTGTATACTCAATCAATAAGTAAAAAAATAATAACTTATTTCTTTTAACTTCATAAAATCTGACTAAGAAAATGTAAGAATACGAAAAAAGCCTTATTATGTAAAAGTCTAATCATCATGCTTCTCTGGAGACATATCTTTGGCTGCCGAACGACTCCTCGACTTGCTTCTGCCTTTGCTGACAGACCTTGAATGCGACCTATCTCTGAAAAATTAAGAAAACAAGCATAATGTTAATAACGTTCCGATGCGTTTGTAGATGATGCGTGTACTTACTTGGACATAGCTTTATCTTTCGAAGGAGATCTGGACTGTTGTTTGCCATGCGATCTGGACCTTGATCGTGACTTAGAAATTTCCTTAGACTTTGACCTGGATCTAGATTTGGAATGTGCAGGCGACTTGCTCTTCGAGTGTCCTCCCCTTGATTTCGACCGGCTTGACCGGTGAGAACGGCTTCTGGAGTGGCTCCTGCTGCGAGACCTGGACCTAGACCTTGATCTGGAACGACGTCTGGATCGGGAACGCGACCTGCTTCGGCTGCTAGAAGATCTGGACCTTCTGCCGCCTCCTCCGCCACCACCACGGCGGCGGTCTTCCATCAAGTGGATTCTACGACCGTTCAACTCGGTGTCATCCAGTTTATCGATAGCATTTTTCATATCGTTATATGAAGCAAACTCAACCACTCTAGAATAATTCAATTTTAATTAGACAAAATAGAATATTGAAATATTATTTCACTGATGCTTGAAAGTTGTCAGTATTGGGAAAGTTTACATCAAAGCAATTCAGCCGAAAGATGGTTGATTAAATCATCATTATAATATATTTCTTTTGACTTGGGAGGACTATTAGCCAAATATAGTATTTTAAATAATTTAATAGAAATAAAAGAAACTTACCCTTCATTGCGCCTTTGTTTGTGTGCATCAGCATAAGTAACTTCTCCAGCTTGTCTCATATAATCTTTCAGGTCCTAACAGAAAATAATAAGTTAGTTCAATATGCAAATTAAAGTTGTGTATTGCAGGAGGAAACTTTCTTTAAAATTATAAATGGCCTGCATATAAAGTGGTATTGCATTAATTATAAATTTATAATAAAGCAGCTACGTAAAAACAAATATTTATACAGCAATACCAATTTCATACAGATATTGACCAAAATTTAAAAAGAAAAGTAAAAACTAAACCAAACCTGCACAAGTTACAACGATTTAAAATTATAGTTAACCAACGGCTTAGTTACGTTTTGCGCGTATTTAATTTTGCAAAAGGATTAAAAGAACAACAAAAGTATTAATATGAAACAAAACAAATTAAAGTAAATGAAATAAAGCGCATTTGGTGTGGGTCGTGTACATATTTTTTGTGTGACTTGGCTCCCCCTTTCATCATCATTGGAATCCTCGAGTGTTGAAAGTGCGCGAAAATGATAAAACTGGTGCTATTTGATTTACCACAAAATGTTAATGCTTAGTTAATCTGAGGCTTCCCGAGTTCCAGTTAACAGAAAACAAACGGATCGGAAGACGGATAAACGCTGTGTATCTCCCTCCGGGTTTATTAGCCTCTCCACATCATGGAACTTGCAAGTCCTTGCATTTGGCTTTATCAGAAATCATTCTATAAGCATGTTGTCCCCTCTGTTCGACTTGTCGGACTGTGCAGATGGTGGAATCTCCGGGTGGTCGGACATGTGAGCGTGCCCCCTGTTAACTGGAACTATTTCGATTTCGGTTCGGTATTGCTAGCTATATTCGGTGGTACAGAAATATATATAAATATCGCTTGAAAATGGTGCCGCCAATCCTAATCACATTTGATGTGCGTTTGAGAGATTGAACATTATCATTAAGAGATAAAAAATAGCAGCAACAAAACGTAACTAAGTGGATCAAAATATGCTTAAGTATATAAAAATATTTACGTAATAAATTTGTCTTATATAAAGGTATGATTCACAATAAACTGCGCGTCATGCTAAGGTATTACCTGAGACACGAGCAACCAATGGGGCGGTAGAAATAGACATGAACGGGTACTCGATCTCACTTGGCCACACTGATCTCATTGAATGACATATTGAGCCTAGTACGTCACACTCCAAGGGAATGGGAGCTCTTTGCAAAAAATCACTTTTTATTTACATAATCAATATGTAATAATCAATTTGAGTGGTTTATTGTTTTTTTTTGTTTGTTTTCTAAGTAGATTACAAGGAAATGAAAAAGGAAGAAGAGAAGACAGGGTGGTAATAGGTGGTGATGGTATTGGTGATTAAGAGAATCTTGAGTTTAGTCAGTGGTTGCGTATGTCCTCTTCGTACTAGCAATCGAGCTTTTGTCTGTGTGGTATTATGGCCTAGGATCGATCGGATTCCATTGCTGCTGGAGCCATTTATATAAATGTCATGTGATTTGAAGTACCCGACGATGTTGTCCATTGGTGAGTGCCCACATGGTTTGATCGAACGAACAGCCGCCCATTGGAATTGCGAACATTACAAGAAACTACTCTTTGGATTGGAAATCCACGAACAAACCCCCAACGAATTCGAGCCGCATTTTATTGGTCTTAGACGAATTGGTTCACAGTATCTGATATTCAAAGGATATTTCATAAGGAATTAAAGGAACCCAAAGACCAAAAAATATAAATGTATCAACATGCAAAAAATAGAGATAGAGAGAGAGAGTGGCAACTAATATCTTGTTTTCTTTCAAAACTCACCTGCCAGCTGACACGGCTTGATAAATTTTCTACAATTAATCTGTACTCTGTTCTGGTTGGTGGCCCATATCTAAAATAAAGCAAAAACAACACAAGAGAATTAAAATATGACCAGTCGAAGATATGCTTAGAATGTTTCAGTTCATCTTTTGTCAGTGTAAGTTATCGTTCATGAGTAAAGTCAGACCCGAAAGATAGAAAAATCATCATGTGAATAATAATAATAAAGATTGCAACCCGTTTTAGCCTTTTTAAAAAACAATATTTACCTATCACGGGATCGCATATCTGGGTCACGGCTATAACAAAACAAGTACATTAAAATTTACTCGAAAAGAATTACAGCAGCTTGACCTCAGATGCCTTCCAATTCACTCTAATTTATAATAATTACTGATAAAGCACTTACTTGTCGCGGCTCCTTCCACGAGGCGCGCCGTAACCTCTGCCTCCTCCGCCACCGCCACCACTTCCGCGCCATTGATCAGAACCCCTTGGAGTACCTCTGGCTCTCTCTACTGATACCCTAAAATAAACAATCTCATATTAATAAACATTTATAATCTCCTACCAAATGCAATCATTGCATTATGATTGCATCAGCAGTAGTTTGTCGTTCAGTGGTTAATCAGACCCGAAAGATGTAAAGAAAATCATCATTTCAAAATATAATTTATAATAAAAACGTTTTAACAAATAATAAATAAAATAATTACCTTTCTCCAAGAAGTTCTTTTCCATTAAGTTCATAAACTGCATCATCGGCATCCCTATAGTCATCAAATTCCTAAACCACAACAGAAACTTAATCAACTGCCTTATACTGTAACACGTTTTATCGTTATCACTTACCACAAATGCGAAGCCGTTCTTCATGGCCACCTCCTTGATACGTCCATACTTCCTGAAGAACTTCTCAATGTCCCGTTCGCGTACTTTATACGTAAGCCCGCCGACGAATACCCTCGTACCCATCCTGTTGTATCTGCAATGGCAAAGGGTGGAAGAAACCGTTAGGCGTTATGTAATGACAAGGGGGAAATTGCGCAATGTCGTTAGACACACTAACAAAACTAATAGCAAAATTGGTAAACTACAACAAAAAACACAGACCTTGCCATAGTCGCAATAAATGAAGAGCACCGGAGCTTTCTCTATTTGCAAACTAAAATTTTCTAAGTTCTGCTATATGCGGCCACGCAATGGCGGAACAAAATGGAGGGCGACACGTGTTTACACGCGCGTCGCTCTGTCACACATTTCGTGATTGCGAACCAACAAAAAAATCAATCATTTAACAAAAATCATTCTTTCAACATTAAAATGAAGGAAAATAACTAATTCAATAATTTTCAAAGAAAAGTTTCCAGAAACAAATAAAAACACTCACAAATTTAAAAATCAAATCAAAATAGGTAAATGAATGTAAATATAGCAGTATTTAGGTCAACGTTGTGTTAAACTTTTAAAGCTATGAACAAACACCATGCGGTTAAAATATAAATAAAATGCACTAAACTACGTACCCTTTTTTGATAGATGTTGCTCAAACAAAAATGAGCACGCTTCTGACTAAAATGGCGATCGACACGAAGCGTTAAGACGCAGCGCTTGCAGCGACCTCTGTAAAATTTACCAGAAAAAAATACTATAACTACGCTATACCTGAAAATGGAACAATCCAGGTCATATCATTATGTTACCTTTTACCAGAAACTTCAGACTCCACCCAGATTTCTCAATGAGAAAGCCTTAATTTCGAGAAATCTACCTCTGATCAATTTAAATTTTGAACACAACCATCCTGATTGGTTATCGCAATAGCCTCGACTCCAAAGTATTTTATAACTTATCCTAAACTTCTTATACATTAATCTCAATACAGAAACATCTACTATACTTTAATTCGCATCTTGCATAAATACGCAAATCTATGGAATGTATCATATGTATTGTATAGGATTTAGGATAGTTGTATAGGGTTACGAGGCTTTGGACGTGTTTGGCGGGAACACGTTCAAAAGTTGATTATTGATTACCACATAAAAGGCGATATTTACTGTCCCAGACTATGAAATAACAATAAAAAATAGTAAAATTTAATTTTAATGTAATATTTTAATCTTTATTATTAGTTTTTTTTTTATCAGGTACATAAACGTATTTCATTCATGCATCCCACTAAGAAGATAGAGAGACATTTATACAATATAATTTCATGTGGGAACATTGAAAATGACAACAATTACAAAAAAAAGACATAATATATAGTCATATAAAGATAGTATAAAAAGAAGAGTAATATTTATAAATATATTGTAAAAAGCATAAAATGAGTATAGTAAAAAAGATAAAATACAATAGTTTCAATTTCTTATCATTCCATAGTTCAAAAAATAAATTCTACCACCTTGTATATTTTGAGACTCCTTCTATGTATATATACATATATTAAATATATACGTGTAAATATATATATTTTTTTGTATTAATAAATTCTCTCTTTGTTTTGTTCATTTCTTTATATTATATTTCTCCCTTGGCTTGTATTGTAATTATTTAGGTTCATTCTTGTATTGGCACTAAACAGAGCCCTGACGGTACAAAGCTTTTGTAAAAAAAATAAAATTCACGTAAATATCCCGTTCACGCGTGTTAAAACTTCTTTAAAAAAAAATGTAAAACTACTTGGACAATTCTGGCAAACAATGTGCCCTTCTCTAATCAGGATCCAACTCAGTTCTTGTCCAATTAAAAATAGTTGCTCTAATAAAATTAACATATAAAAAAATATATATAATTATAATGATCACGTAAGCATCAGTTGCATAGCCTGCGCCGACTATACCTTGTTAAAGGGCCGATAGAGTTATTTCTATTTTATCCAATATCTTTAGGAAACATAAACAGAAAATGGCAAATTAATCGAAAAGCGTTGTTAATGTAAAATACACAGAGGACTTAGAGGTCGTCATCGCTGATTCCTTCGAAAGCATGATTTTCAACGAACTCCTTCCCTGATTTAAAGGACACCGTCGAGAACTTCTCCTGTAGTCGTTTTATCGAAAATGAATCGGATATCTTGGAATGCGAATTACCGTTGTGCTACAAAATGATAACAATTAGTACGTTATTTTTTTGCTATGTTTCGATTAACAAACAGATGTCGTGGTTGGATATACGTCTGGCTCATCCAGACTGATGATTTGGCTTGATCCGTCTCTCTTCATGTAGGACCAGTTCCTTCTGGCGTCGTTCACTTGCCTAGGTCTTAGGCCATTCTTCACAAGCAGCAGCTCATCAACCATAGATTGCAAGCATATGGACATAAGAATTGCTTGACTACTCATGATAGATACCCACTGCAAGTTGTCTTTGGACATCAAATATTCGAAAGACAACTCCACGTCGCTGTTGAGGCTACTACTGCTGTTACTTGCAATATTCATTTTATTCTATAAATTAAAAAAATAATAAAATTCCAATTTATAAACACGCAATTTCAAAAATAATTTACATGAATGGCTGTAATCCTCCAGCATCGCATACGCGTCACTTTGAAACAGCCTTCTTTAACGATTGGACCTGTAATAATTCTCAGACTCAGTTCTTGTCCTCCAATCGCTACTAAAACTTTTGTTTGAGGAGACGGATAATCGCAATAGCAAGGTTGGAACTGCATGTAACCATAGTATTTTAGAGTCCTCGCGGTGTCAATGTATTCTCGTTTGGCTAGTCTTGCCTGCAAATGAGCCATCTGGGAGCGTACCTCCTTTGTACACAAGATCCAGCCTTTTTCAATGTCAGATACCGTTTGGGTATATAGTAAATTCAGAGCAACAGGATCAGTCATTAATTCTAAGTCATAGTTGATGAGCCAGTAATTTCTCCTGATCACAATCTTATCAGCATCTTGGATGGACTTGTGAGATATGTAAGGGGACTCAAAGTCCTGTAATTTTCGCACTAAAATAATATCACCATTGTCCTCCTTTCTGATGAGGAACAATGCAAAGTAGGAGGCATATTCAGGAGGTAAATTGATTTGGCTACAGGCTTTTGACAACACCTGAGATGTTCTGTCTGTAGACAATACTGTCATGGAGATTTGATGATTAGTCATTGTATATACATCTATGTTAATCTCCTGTTTTCTCTCTCCAGTAGTCTCTTGCTGAGCAGATAGTAGGAAGCCTGACAATAGTTCTGAAGCTGTCATCTTTGAATCCTGGCCCACTGTAAAACATAAACACAATAATTGTCATAAACACATCATTTTTGTTTCACTTACAAATTTGAATGTATTTCTCTAAAGAAGCTCTCCTTTCTTCCAGTTGACCTCCAGTTAATGGTAAAAGTTTCTTGGGTGGAAATGTGGGCAGAATGTCAGCACCATATTCCTTGCGTAACTGCTCATGCAAGTTGTACATTTGCTTGTATCGAACTGTGCAATGGAACACCCCATTGATATGAACGTTGAAGCCCTGTGGAATAATTATTTACAACAGGAACTTGTTAATTTATGCGAAAACAACACTTACCACATATGTGGATCCATTACCGTCGTTTAATTCTTGGGTGTCAGGGATAGAAAAATACATTTTCTCAAACTGTTGAGTCTCCTCTTCACACTCTGCTACTCAACATACAATAACTTTATTTAATTTTTTACGGGCTTTCCAATCTATTTTCTCATTTTGCAATAATTAACGAAGAATCTTGATAGATCAAGGAAGACTGACATTGACAACAAATGTTACCAACCAATTTTATTTCCATTGGGAGTCACCAATATTAAATTCAAATATGTTTATCTTTAGTGTAATCATTTAATAATAACAACTTATCTATTTAATTTTAAGTGGTTATTATTAAATCATTACACTAAAAACAGACATATTTGATTGTTTTTATTAATATAATATAAGAAAAAAAGTGGTTCATACTTATTAAATTCTGTTTTCCTCTAATACATCCAATTTCTTGATTTATTAAAAGTTTTTCAATTTTCTTTCATTTCCAACTACTGCTTCTTTGGAAAAGAAAGATTATTTTTAATAGATGTTTTTTGATATTTTATAGTAGAAATACTGACCAAACCACAATTTCGGAAGTCAGCTCAATAGAAAAGTTGGAGTTTTCGCTTTAATTTGCGTATTTGATGGTTTAATGAGTGGCAATCGATTGCAGCAAATTGAAAAAAATATTTAAATAAATGGTTATATACATATATATTTGAAACTTTTAATTTACTGTGCTAAAAAATAATTATTTCGCTTTCCTTTGCTACAGAATAAATTAGTAGTGGTCAATTAATAAGAAAGTTATTAAGCTTTAATGAGTTGGCGGTTTTTGCGAATCAAACAAATATGTGGGAATAATCAAGAAACAGTCTGCAACCACACATGCGTTGCTATTTCCTGCAAATTCTGGCAGATGTCGCAGCTGGTCTTAATTAAAATGCATATAACTCGAAAACTAATTAGCATTTAAATGATTAGACTAAAGTAATAACATTACGTTTGTTCAAGCACTATTTTGACATGTTTGTTTATTTAAATTAGGACGTTTTTCTTCTTCTTCCTTCCCCCTTCATCATTTGGCTTCCGCATTACGCGCCAATAAGCCAGCCACCACCAGCCACTGTCTGTACATTCAAAGCACAAAAACCAAAATGCCTTATTCTTCGGATCCAACTAATTAAAGTAACCAGCTTCTCCCAATAAAACCAAATTTTCTTCTTTAGCACAAATAATCAAAATAAACAACTTCTTCTACGCAACTAAAAAATAACTATTAAATCAAACTTAAACTATATAATATGTACATAGAAGAGATACGGCCCGACAGGTAAAGACAATAAAGGTAACGGATCGAACACAAATATATAACGAATTTTATACCGGGGTCTCAGCGGTTCAGTACTCAGGTTCTTGGAGAGACCTCGGAAAGGTATAAATTAGAAAGGTTGACACACTATTTATAGGCATTAGATGTTTTAAGAAACTTTAGTATTGCCCTGTAAACGTCCTCGGATTGAATGAGACACCGTATGGACGTGGGCATGGGAATTGTATTATGCAGCAATTGCTCATAAAGAACCCCGGATGCCTCACTATTGTGTTCATATGCGAAGACGATGTGATCCAGCGTCCCGATGGCACTAGATGGATTTTGAGCAGCGCCAAAACGGCTGAACTACAATCTTTCAAGTATTGCTAACAGATGGCACTAGCTGCCACAAAATGGAAAATATAGTTTGCGCCTAAAGTGAAGGCAACCAAGCATACATACACACTTTAATGAACAAATAGGAAAACAATGTCTCAGATAATGATCTGTATTTTCGCAAACATGAGCTCCCAGAAGTATGTTAAAAATGGTTGCTGATCTTGAATATACACGGATTAAAATGAGCGTTAATGTTAATATGTAGCTGCAATGGTATCCTCATAATTCATTAACATACTTTGGTATTGCACAAATGAGTTGGGAAAATAATGTCTTCGAAAATGGCCAGTATTTTCGTATTCACCAACTCTCAGAAGATTTTTTTAACATTAATGTTGATCTTGAATATGGAGAGATTAGCTTCGTCACAATTAATTATCAAACTTTGGTATTAGATAGTTTGGAAAACAACGTTTTCGAAAATTGCCTGTATTTTCGTAAGCACACGCTTCTAGAAAAATGTTGAATTTGAATGTTGATCTAAAATATAAAGAGATTAAAATGAGTATAAATACAGGCTTGTAGCTACCATAGCTTGGTCACAATTACTTATCAAACTTTGGTATTAGATAGTTTGGAAAACAACGTTTTCGAAGCACTTGCTTCCAGAAGAATATTGAATATGAATGATCTAAAATATACAGAGATTAAAATAAATGAAAATATAGATTGATAGTTGTATAAAATACTTTTAGTCTCTTTCTGGCAATTTGATGAAAAAACTTTTTTGTTTTTCCAATATTTTCAATGCATCTAGCTAGTTTTCCAGTCTCTAAGGATCATGTAAGAAGCAACAAAAGAATCATGGGTGCTATAGGGCTCATAGTTGTTATCCATCTCCTGAATGAAGCAATATTTATGGTTACATTCAGCAGTTAAGATTTCTACTATTTGCAACTGAACACTGTTAGTAAATAATGTTTTCCACTTTCTGGGGAACTTGAAATCATCAATTATACATTAGAGGCATGTTGCTATCAGCTCCATAATAAAATAATATTAATTGTTTTGATGATTCTTGACTACTTACTTTATGGCTATTAACAATTAATGCATTCTTATATGAAGACACTGTTTTATGTAAAAGATTTTAAGAATTGTCCCTACTTTTGCAGTTTCTGTTGTATTTTTTTGAAGCCAAAGAACTTTAGTGATCGATGGTTGTTGACATGTTGCACTAGTACTTGCTCAGATATCTCTTCGCACTCCTGGTCTCCTAGTAGAAATTCCTAATTTTTGGGGGGAGGGACTTGCGTTTTGATTCGCAAAACCGCCAATTCATTAAAGCTACCGAACGTGAAAGAATTATTCTTTAAAATAGTAACTTCAAATTTTCTAATATATATGAATATAACCATTTATTTAACTATTTTTTTAATTTGCTGCAATACCTTCACGTTTTCTTAAATTAATCGATTAACACTCGTGATAATTAAACAACCGAATACGCAAATTAAAGAGAAAACTACAACCTTTCCAATGAGCTAACTGTCGGCAATGTGGTTTGGTCAGTACATCTACTATAAGTTATCAAAATCAAGCATCATGAGATAAAAACAAAACAAATAATATCATCAATATTATCATTATATTTATTTAATTATATGTAAAATAAATAACACACAAACATCATAGCCGTTGGGTCAATAATCAAGAGCTATGTAAAACAATTAGATATAATAATCAAGTATATTCCTTTTAAAGTTTAACAACTAATTTCATAATTTCCATATTTTGTTCGTATTTTTCTCTCTGCTTTCTTCATTAAATAACATCCACAATTTTTCAACGGACAGATCTCGGATATCAAGGGTTACTTGCTTATTTTTATTGTTCTTCCTTTATTTCTCAATTACACCTAATACCTAATCAATAATACCTAATTACAAAGATCACATTTCTTTGGTTAAAAATTATTAACAATTTGTTCAATTTAAAAAATATCCCGCAACAGTCGCTCGAGAACGCATTGTTATTCATCTCCAATTATTCTGTTTGTATCGATCGAAACTTATTGCTTTTGTTTCATAAAAAGTTGCGTAAGGGTGTCGCCTATCTTACGCAATCATGAAATGCAACAAAAGTTCCGTAATTTTTGTGTAATTAAGAAAAAACGTGAAAACTCTTCGTTTCTCGTCGAAAAGCGATTTTTAAGTAAATCCTATTCACTTTTTTTTTCCAATTTCTACAGCTCATAGCAGGCGATTCTGCGACAGCACCAAGATGCCAATAGGCTCGTTGGAATGGTGAGATATTCTGCTTTCAATTGCAAAAATTGTCTATTCCCTGTTACGTAACAAACATTACGTAACTTTTGTTTCATAAAAAGTTGCGTAAGGGTAGCGCTCATCTTACGCAATCATGAAATGCGGCAAAAGTTACGTAATTTTCGTGTAAGAAAAAACTTGAAAATTCTTCGTTTCTCATCGAAAAACGATTTTTAAGAAAATACTATTTTTTTCCAATTTTTGCAGCTCGTAGCAGACGACTCTGCGACAGCACGAAGTTGCCGATATTTTCGTTGAAAAGGTGAGGTATTTAGCTTTACCAGTTTTGTTCATACGTTACGCAAAGTGCCCAATCCTAAAATAGTACGTTAACAATTAAAACAAAGTATTGTTACGGGAAGCAGTGGGATGCAAACGCAATTATGTGATAGCAGCGTGTCTATACAATTATGATATAAACCAATCTAATCGGCGATCTGAAATTCCTAAATTGCTCGTATGTGCATTCAATAACGCGTGAACTATTCAATCAATCTACGTGCTTTGCATTACATGTTGATCCATCAGCTCTGAGTATTTGTAATATTCAGATCAATAATTTCAGATGTACGCACTACTACAGGTATAGATGGGCGGTGGGTGGCTGCAGTCTCAAGTAGGTATGTCTCAGGTGTCCACAGCCAAATATAATCCCGCAGGAAAAGCTCCAGAGGTCGACGTAATGCTCTTACAAAAAAAAATATAAGACTGTCTTTTGTACGTTTATATATATACATCTAAGAAGCACGAGGCAAGGGACAGGATTCGGCGATGGAAAGGAAAAGGATTTGCAGCTCTGGTTAGAAAAAAAAACGGAAGCTTCCTCTCTTTTCAGCAAATCATAATCTAATCTTTGGTTCTTAATCTGTCTTTGTACCGGCCTCCGCGTTTCGCAGATTTATGTAAATATAAATACAACGCGTGCGTTTTGGTCCTCATCTCTAGCGGGTATTTACTAACAAATCTCGGAGGGTACAAATTGTGATGCAAATTGGTAATTTGCGTGCATTAATTGATCCCGCGGGCGCTTAGATCCGCTGGGTATGAGAATATTTGCTCCAATATAGCAGCAGTTGCTTGCAGTTAATTACTAAGTTTAGCGGTCCCATACCGGACCATGTATAAAGTAGTAGTAATCAAGCAGCAGCAGCAAAGTTCCGAACTACCGTATGATCAAAGATACATGTATATGCAATCACATCTTGTAGCCAATTTGGTATTTTTAATTACTGTTTTTTAGCTCTTTTTCAATTAGTTGGTTGGATT